TATTTGTGTGCTTGTCAGTTTGCGAAGAAAATGGCGGAGTTCTTGACTAAAGTGTAGTTTCTAGATAAAGAATTATTAGATTGGAGTAAAATGAATGGACGTTTATCTGATATATGTATATTGCGCTATAAAGTAAATTAAGATGTTCTGGATCGTTTGCAAATACAGAAGGGAAACATTATACCTGATATTATTAATATATAAACATATTAATAATCTTAATATATGACTTTCTAGATAGCACACAGACGGCTTAAGACGGCTTAATGACGCCTTAAAGGCAACTCCGACCTAAAATAGCCGTAAAATGGGAGTCTTCAAGGCGTCATATTCTATTCGGGGTGTAGTTGTGATCTTAACGTGTTCAGCCAATGTTTATATCCCATCAAACTGCTGCCTTCTTTAGAAACGTTATATCAAAATCTACATATATTATATTAAGCTTATACATCCTTTTTAAGGAACTTTTACAGAACGATGAAGTCAGAAATCCTAATAAGTAATAACGATTCTTCTGATGATTTACAAATATTGTTTAATTACTCACATCTTCAAACTGGCCCAGCTTTGTTAATTTCGTACTTTCCATTAAACATTCCCCTATTGACCCTCGCAAGGCATTGCTATTCTTAATATCAGTATGTTAGTAAAGATTAATATTTTCTACAGTAGACAATTATTTCATCGAAATATACAACAATACTTCTTAGTCAACTTCTAATTCAAGTTTAATTGTTTTCGTTTAATTATTTTATCAAGTACACTAATATTAGTGATTGCAGTAAGAAATATGAAACATTGTTGTTATAAATGTCTACATACTGTTCATTACTTAATTAATATAAAATAACACTTATCCATTGTCAAACCTATATAATTCTTCATGTGCTAACTAGCTTAAACCTATTTGGTATGTACAATATTATTACAATATAATTGACAATATATATATATTTATATATATATATATATACAAAAATACTATATTGTATCTTATTATAATATAAAAAGCAAAGAAAATCTGAAAAAAATATAATTGACTCAAATGAATTACATACCGGGAGACAATTACTTTGTTTAAATATATTGCACATGAGATGGAATATTCATCTAGTCTTGCTTTAATGAATACTGAAAAAGTATATAAATTTATCAGTTGTTGATGCTAAGTATTGTCTCAGGTTATTATTTACAATTCAATATTATTTCATCTGTAGTATTTATTATTTACTCTCTCTACTTAATTGCTAGTAATTTACGTTATGTATGCATCTGGACACTACGTAGAGAACTACTTGAAACAACTAGAACACTATCAAACAGTAACGTACAGACTTCCCATCACGAATGAGGTATAAAAGTAAACTTATCATATTACGAATCGTCGTAACCCAAGAAATCTGAAGTACGTATCAGCATATTAAAAAGCTCCTGACTTTCATAAGATCATACTACGTTATAAAACCGTTAAATTTCGAAGTTATATTCGATCCACCTCGAATTCAGCTAGCTAATGATCTACAATATTACCAGGTCAAAAGTCTTCTGTATGATACAAATCTAATTCATTCCTACATTAGTACAAAATTTTTCGAATTAAATTTCGGAAGAATTGTATTATGGCGTCATCAATACATATATTATATGGTCTGTTGAATTACACCTAAAGAATTTTTAAATTAGTGCAATCTACACAGACAAATGGCAGAACCAATCACATCTTAATTCTGAAACAAACCCAGTTCTTTCGAAAATTTCCTATGCGAGGGACTGACTAGTGGCGCCGCCTCTCAATGACCAGCTGAACTAATTTTGAAACTTCTGTAATGCTAGTTTCTACGATCACCAAAAGATAGCGCCACCATACGATTCTTGCCTGATCACCCTAGAAGTATACACATAATAGACTGCGCGCTCTTACGGGAGAAGTCATGCACACACCGAAAGACAAAAATAGTTCAGAAGTGGTGTTCTCTCATTCACACATCACTGAGGGAGGGGTGAAAACGACTGGAGGGCAATGAGGGAAAAGGATATTGTATACATACTAGGGGCGGGATTCATAGTCGTTGCTTATTCTTAAGCAAATGCTTAAGTCCCCAGTTATAAATGTGTAGTCCATACGTATACACGTATACATTCATAACTGGAAACTTAAGCATTTGCTTAAGAATATGTAGTGATTATGAATTCCGACCTAGGAATTCATTAGGACCCTATTACAACCGCAGAAGGTCCTCCCCTTCCCCACCCCCCTCCAACCAGCATTTGCTGTTGCCATCTCTCTCTGGCGTCGACATAAACTCCTCTCATGGAGCGCGCAGTCTATTATATAAATGCAGCAGAGAGCAAATGAGACTGGTCACATCTGGAAATTCGTTGTCCTCGGGCAAGTGCTGCACCAAGCGGCCAATTCTGGCATAATAGTAGGAATCTGGCGATGCAAAAGTGTCGCCAGCGCCTGGTTAAAAACAAAGAAAAATAAGGTCTGGTACCCTGGGTTAAATGGAGAGAGAAAGACGACGGCTCGCGAACCCGTATCCATCCCCTATTGCTTTGGATCATAGTGGGCTGGTTCCGTATGTACCAGACCCGAACCAAGGATCAGAGCGGCAGTATGGTAGTTTGGTAGTGCAAGCGAGCCTATCTGGTACGGAGCAGGTATCCACCCCACTCCCTACCTAAGCACGCACGAATCTTTCTCCAAATCCTATTTGCCAGGCAAAGGCTAAACACCGTCCGATATCTGACGTCTCAATAGGGACCGGAGGGATCGGCAAACGGTCTTAGTGTGCGGACCCACTGCCTGTACCCTAAGTCTATGTAGAGAATCAACGAGCAAAATAAACTAATAATAGCTTGGTATACACAATGGATGATTACAATTTAAGTCTATTAATCGATAGACTAAAATGAACAATAATAATTATTAATTATAATATAATTTATAAATTAATTAAAATTGATAATAATGGTTATCATTACGATTTGATGAATATGTAATGATGATTTGAACAATGAATATCTAATTATGATTTAAGTCTAACTTACAGTAACTGAACGTACTGGTAGACGCTTTGAGGATGTAGACGTTCGTCGATGTCTTCTTTCGATGGAATAACTAATTGGAAAAATATTTTTAATTATACAATACACATAGAATGCAGGTAGTAAAACTCAATTAGACGAATAGATTAATAAATTACATTAAACATGTAAATAGACAGTCAATACATGACAGTAAATAAGTCACAGTACATAAATCACAGTAAATAAGAAAATAAATATCGTAGCCAATGGTTGTCGAACATCTGTAACATACAAGGGGTTAGTAACAAGAGAGGGGAAGGGTGTGAGAAACACACACCCAACCACCTCGACAGCTTACGAGACTGCAAAGAGTCTAGAGAGTGGGGATGTGGTATTACGGAAGGTGGTCGACCTTGGCAAATATCAGGCGTATTTAACTACGTATGCACGCATTACTTTGTTTATCTTACAGACAGAATTGAAATGTTTTTGCCGGCTAAGACTTCCTTGAAGAATTTATATACCTGGTACGACCATGGTACAGGGCGAGGGTCCCATAAATTTGCTGTGGAAAACAGAAATTTCCCAACACATCGGTCAAGACACATACGTATGTAAATGTATTTTACAGTTTCAACCATAGAGGGGGTGCAGATGTTTCCAGAAGTGCCTTTGAAACAAAAATAAATTTGAATATTTCGTCAAGATATGATTATTTTTAGGAAAGATTAGTTAGTAAGAGTTTGAAATTTGGAATAACTTTGGAATTAAATACAGCTGGAATATTTCAATTGGCTGTAGAGGTAAATAGAATATCAAGTTTAAAAAATCTAAAAATTCTAACTTTACGTACTTTATCGGTATGCGTGACATTGCAATGGTATGGTTCTAGATCCAAAAAAACTTGTAACACGAGGATGGGTCATTTCAGGTCAACTAGAGCACTTTTGTACACGATGTCTGGCGGACAACGGCGTGCAACATGCGGGCACATAGCAGTGATGGGGGAAATGTGTGAGTGAGAGCGTGTATCCATCACTCACTTCATGCCAAGGTCGTATACTACCGTGCTTCGTACATAAATTCGATATATCTCTATAAATAACGGAGATAATAATAATGGTGGTAACGGCGATGGAACAGTGTGTATATCCAGCCCACCGTACATGTAGCTACGTCGAACAAGTGAAAGGGCAATTGGCAGGGAGAGCGCACATGTGATTGGAGCTCGCTTAATGTTCTGTTCCTGGAAATATAGCCCTCTACAGCCCCGAACGCTGCAATAAACGAGATTTTATTGTACTATGAACGAAGCATATAATGCTCCATTCGTACTAATAATACCTAGGATTAATGCTTGTCGGTAACGTTGGGTGTGACAGGTAAATGGTAAGGGGGCGCTAGTGCACCAAAAAATCAGACCACGAAAATGTGTTCTGATCATGCTTAACACTATTGCTTTAACTAATTAAATATAACAAATAAACAAATTTGCAACGTAAAACGTAAACGTTATAAATAATTCGTCTTTTTATTTCGTGGAAAAGTTTGATAAGGATAGAAGTCAGATGGTTTGCTTTATTAATTATTATTCAAATATTGGTCATTTTCTGTAGCTACCGGAAGTGTTCCATTTATAAGATGGAATCGCCCATCATTTAGTAGGGATAGCTGCAGAAGTGAAGTGACTGGAAAGAAAATCGATTAATAGGAAAATAAGTGAGGTCACAAACAGAGTAAAGGTCGTATCAAGCGATAAAAGGCGTTTCACGGTCGTTTCGTCATAGAGTTTACGATATTTTACGAACTCCTTTGACATACTTTGTTTGCCTGGTCTACCATCAGTGCATTTCTTGCCTTCGCTGAGTTACGTGCATTACGTGTCCGGTTCGAGTCGCGTTTGGAATTTCCGTGACGTTTTCGGTATATCTCTTTCAATGTTTGAATTTTCTTTTGCTTCCGGAAGAACAAAGCTGTGTTATCGTTGGAAATTTATTACCATTGAAGAAACGCTCTTTCGGTTCTAATTACAGAAGACAAGTAAATGTGTTTTAACTTCTATTTGTATAACTTAAAGATTGTAACATTTGTTTTCATTACGAAAACCATGTGTTATATATGCTTTACTTTTTGTCAGTGAAGAGTATTTTAAAAGTTCTGGTTTCCATTAGTATTTTAGGGATCTATAAAAAGAAGAAATGTGATTTATTATAATTTATTTACTGTTGCTAATTAATTGAAAACGAAAAGACAAAACTGTAATAAAGGAAATTTTCAGAAATCTTATGTCACAATAGAACTTTGAATATATTAAATTATTTAGTAATTTCTAAAGTATGATCATACTTAGTTTAAGAGACTCGTGTAAATAGTGTATGAACTGAAATATTATTTAATGGTTGTGTTGCAATTCCTTTCATTTACCTATTCGATACCATATTATATGAAATTATTATAGTAATTTAATTGTCTAGTACTACTTTTTGGTTTTAAATAAATTACAACACAAACTTATTGGTTGACATTATAATTTAATTGTAAATCACTGTTCCTATTTAGTATTGTTTCACTGAAATGTTTCTGTTTACTCAAACACAAACTTTATTTCAAATCGAACACAATGGATATGAATATTACAGATTCAATTGTCACAAAATAGTAATGTTAACGGTTTTTCCACCTCATTCGCCTTAATTAGTAAAACAGTCAGTCACTGAGAAACGAACATTTCTGAATAGTTTTTTCATTCTGTTCTTTATGTCTATTTATTTATGAAGGAAACAAAGAACTGTAATAAGTAACAACAACAACAAAATGTAACTAAAAGTAATACAAAATTTGTTAATTTTACAGGTTATTATATAATTTAAATTGTTATCTTTGGTATAACACTATTTTAAAGTCATGTACATAAACAAGACATAAAATGATAAATAAGTGTAAATGGTAAGAAATTGTAAACGACAATAGTAATTAAAAGCATACCATGTATTTCTTAACTTGACAATGAATCACACTAGAGGTACTCAAACTTCATTAATAAACCAGAACTTTGCTGAACTAATTATCATTCGACACTATTTTTAAAACATAATAACTCAGTTAATACTGCTGTACTGACTGACGATTACTTACAATAATTGTATGCTTTCACGAAAGATACACTATACAGGGTATTTCCGAAATCCTGGTACAACCAGAAGGGAGGTGATTTCTCGTGTAAAAGTAAGTCAAATATATAAAATAAAGTTTTTTCATATGAAGCTCCGTTTTCAAGAAAATCGTATTTGAAGATTCATCTAAAACGCATACATATGTATCCAGCAGATTTTCAAATTCAATTATTCTGGAAACGAAATATCACATGAAAAAATTTTATTCTACATTTTCTACATACTTTTACATGAAGAATTGGCTTCTTTCCGGTTATACTACGATTTCGGAGACACCCTGTATAATAAAACTTTTATTTCGATAAAGTCATTCACGAAATTTCATCTGAATTATAAACATCAGATGTCAATAATGTCTAATAGCCTAGAATTCTTTTATCTCTTAATCGTTTTTCATTATTTATAACTGAATAACAATTTTTCAAATTTATTTACAATAACTACGACTGTTTCAACTATGAGATTAATGTTGCATTTAATTGATAATGATTAAAGTCAGAATTTACTATGATTGTTAACGCGGCGTTTGATTGGAGGGTAGTCCTTGCAGATTGAAATCTAACGGATAGCGGTTTGAATACAATAAGCAATTCTCTTCTGTGACACTGTCTTTGGAATAAGTCTAACAATAATAGAAAATCTTGTGGCATATATTTTTACATAAATGAAATGAGTCGACAATTTACCAGAGTACAGCTTTAATTATGAAGTAGATAGGGAAATAAGTTTGCCACAGTAGAATATTACGTACACCGAGTTTATCTAAACTACATGCAATTACTTGTCGCGCTGGAAATCGTATACATAAAGAACAGTAGACTTTGCCTATCATTCCTCGAATAGTGCTTTTTTATAGTCTGTTATCGGTTACTTTAGCAATGCAAAATAAATTGTATAATAAAATATACCAATCGAGTCCAATTTATGTAAAGCATATTCGTAAATATTTTGTGAAAACGATTAAAATACTTTGTAATAATACATAAATTAAATGATAGTAACAAAAATATTAAAATTTAAAGACACTTAAAACCCCTAGAGTAACATAAAAATTTCTTTACTTTTCGCGATACCTTTACGAAAGTTCTACCATCAGATTCATAAATCTCATGATAATATTCAATAAATTTAATCACGTTTTTTTAAACAATTTTGAAGGATTCGTCATGTGCAATGTTTTCGTAGTAAGTCGAACTGCGTATGTATAATTTAAAATAGGCTAATGACGTCGAGTTTGCACTCAATTTTATTAGATGTACCGTAATAGTTAAAAATCTTAATTCTAATCTTAATTCTAATTTCTTAAATCTAAATACCGTTATAGTTAAATATTCTAACAACATATTTAACAATACCTAATGAAAAATATAGAATTTTTAATTTTTATTGGTGAGACATTTACTTGGCCTCTTTAAATTGTTCTATCTATTCTAATTACTCTATTTCAATTCAGCAACCAGTCGACCGTAACATCAAGCCAAGATCTTCAGTAGATAATTTCTACAAGTAATGAGGTAAAACTAAACGTACCGTATGTAGAACAGCAGAGAAATTGCAACTACTTGAAATCCGCGAAATATACAAAATATAAACTAAACTGCGAGAAAATGAGGGGGTTCATTGACTATACATTGGAGTGCGTAGTCCTAAATCACATGTTCATAAAGTATTTTTAATGCAAGGCAAGAAAGAACATCAGCATGAATAATATCAAAATTTCATTACAGTCCCAAAGAACAAATGAACAATGCTAAACCTAGCAAAGGTGTGGATATTTATGGATTACAAGATTAGTTACTCAGCATTACAGAAATTATTTCGTAAACATTGTAAAAATTCTAACACTCAACTATTAAACCAAGATTGAAACAACCCAACAATATTCATTTATCTATTATTTTGATTTACAAAACTAGCATAAACAGCTCATCTTCGTTTTACAGGGTATTCCAAAATAGGTGTAAGTCCTTAAAATGGGTGATTCCTGGAATGGTTTGAAACAACTTTTTCCTTAACGGAAATATTCTCCGAGGCTTTGTTAACGAGATATTAACGAAAAACCCCGACCAATCAGAGCGCGAGATTGGCAGCTGAGCTCCCGCCGTAGCGTTGGCTACGTGTTGCGCTTATACTACGAACAAGTAAGTCGGCAGAGATTGTACGGAACTGCATAAAATAGCAAATGAAAAATTACCGAACAAAAATGTAAAGTTTGATTTTATTTGTTACATCTTTTTCATTTGCTATTCTACACAGTTGCCTTCGATTCCTGCCGACTTGGTTGTTCGTAGTAGAAGCACAGCTACCGCTACCGCCGGAGCTCGGCCGGCAGACGCGCTCTGATTGGTCGGGGTTTGTCGTTAATATCTCGTTAACAAAGCTTCGTAGAACTTTTTTGCTAAGAAAAAAGTTGTTTCAAATCACCCCAGGAATTACCCCAAGGACCTACACCTATTTTGGAACACCCCGTATAGATCCACGTTTATACCAGGTTAATACTCGTACTTGAAGCTAGTTGGGTTATGTCTAACACTCACTTGCTCTAATTTTTACAACATTGTCATTAATGGGAACCAACAATTTATTCCAAAGACCACTTCTTACTTTATACCGGAGTTCGAAGCGTCCGATGAAAGGGAACAGAGTACTATCGGCGGATCTCAGCGTGTTAACATATTCGCTACGGGCTAATTAGCGGATGATATAATTTGATGTATGATTTCCTGCACCACCAGCTGCTTCATAGATGATTTATATATCTTCGCAAACTAACTAGGTGGTCACAATCGATTATCGCTGAATTTAAATTTAAATTAACGAGGTATTACAGGAGACCCTTTAGCATGCGGGTCTTATTCATACCGCAAGGCTGTACTCATTATTCTATTTTATCGCCCATAAAAAAATACTGGTGCCTAAACTGTCCCTAGAATTTTCAATATATTAGTTTCTTTCCGCTTCTAAATAACCACTGACGTTAAATTAACCCTAAAACTACCATACCTGTAAAAATCTCGGATTCAGATTTCTTACTATGTTACTATTGCTGAAATCGTAATTTATTAGGTATACCAGTAAATAATCCACTATTTTTGGTGAAATTTTGTACTTCTTTCGTATCAGTTTTCGAAACCCTGTGCTATTTTATAACTTTACTGAACGGTAGCCTATTTGTAGACTTTCAAATTTCACTGATTATAAAATAAGAGAAGCCTATTAATTTACCCTTAGATCAGGGTTAACCGTTAATTACATGCATGGGGTCATTGTAATTTCGATGTCCTCATAAATGCGTAATTCGTATCCGTTATCGTAATCTGTCCGCATAGCTTCCTAATTAGATTTTCTCTATGAGATTCTGGCAATATATTGGGTTCCTACAAGACCATATTCGAGCAATATTGCACAAAACAAGGTACGAATAATTAAAGGTAAAAGAAGGAATTGTTACGTTATTCTATTAGAGTTCTTGCCAATTTCTCATGAATGTAATTTGCTACTACGATTAAACTGTTTAAAAATAGTTCCATGGGTATTAATCGTTGGATCTACTAAACCTATTAACCCATTAACAGTCTAATAAAATCACAACTTATGATAAACAAATGCATGTTCTTTTATGCGCTGAACTACGTTTATCTATGATAAAAAATGTAAAAATGGAACATGTTTTAAACCTATATTTTTAATAATTACGTCGTGTATGATAAATGGGCCATGCCTAAGTCTCAGACAAGTTAAACTGTTAATAGGTTAAATAGTAGCAGGTGGTAGATAATGTATTAACTGCATATATCATTATTTGTTCCCATAATTCTCCCTCATTTTGACTAGACAGACGATAAAAAATGTTTTCTGACTATAAGCTGTATTTCCAGTATACTAGAACCATAGTGGATTACTTATTGGTACATTTAATAGTACACATTCGACGCTGGTAGATCCTAGCGTTAAAACAACAAGATACATTGATCTGAAATAGAGTTCAATCGTGTCGTACGACCTCAAAGCGAGGCCACAGGTCCTTCACACTCCATATTTCTGTCAATTCTCTCGTCGAACCATCCAAAACACGAGTTTCATAGCTTTCCATTGATTTCACGACCAGCACTGTGTATCTTTTCCACCGAGAATAGCTCAGGTGTGGGAAGGAGGGAACGGCGTTAGATCTTCAAATAAAAGCAACGAACCGCGTCCCGGCAACAAGCAGTCAGAAGCCCCGTTCACCGACCGGTGCCTGGCGATTATTGTTTGTTTTGCGTACAAAAAAGGAATCATGTTTAAACCCTTGCGTTGTAACATTGAGTCAGATTCGTCGTGGCAGTTTGAAATTGGGACTAATAAACATTAATATTTATCATTTCCTTGAAGTAGAAGTATAACGCTGTTTTGCTGATTTTAATACTTAACTTTTAAAAATAGATTGAAAAATAATTGTAAAAATAGAATGAACTATTGCTTCGAAGCAAGTGTTGAGGGGTCATTCTACTTTGATGGTCGAAAAAGTTAGGTTATGTTTAGGGATTTTATCCTGAGTAAAGACAGTATGTAATCAATTACAATTTGTTAGTATTTATTGAACTATTTATGAATAATGTGAAAAAATTGCAAAAATAATGTTATTATATTTGGTTTTAAGTTTTTTCTTAACATGAAATTGACATCTCATAAAAATAGTATTTCCATGGCACGCGTGATTTCTCCACTCAGACCCAACTGAAACCAAAAATTCAAGCATGTTCTTAATATTATGAGTGTCGCTATCGCAAGAAGCACAGTGAATAATTCAAAGAAAAGCATTTTTTACGGTCGTTTTGTTGTGTAAAAAGTATGATAAATTAATGATATGAACATGATTGTGTATTCGTACTAGTAATAAGTAGAAACGGAATGTAATGAACAGACGCGGATCCAGCAGATTTTCAGATTTGAATATCTTGAAAACGAAGCATCACACGAAAGAGTATTATTCTAAATTTTATTCTTTCCATACAATACCCCTAAACCGGCGCAAGCTTATTGAAATTGGAGTGGAACACTTTACAAACAAGGATATCTTTTTCTTTGTTCTATTAGGCAAAAAGAATTCCTTAAAACAGCACATTAACCATGGATATATTATGTACGCATACGTACATTAATACGCTGTAATATCACAAACTTTACATAATTTCGGGGATTGTGATCGCAGTCAATATGCAGTTAACTTCATTTACAGACATTGTAAAGATACTATCATACATAAAATCCATTTAAGGATTTAATGATTATATATTCTTCATATATTTTTATAAATACGTTTCTTTTTTTTATAAATAAATAATATTTATGTATCAAATTTAAAAAAACGTGTATTTATTTACGAGACGCTATTACAGTATGTACCTATATAAAAATTTATTATTCTCGTATTCGTAAATAATAATTTAGTATCGCACGATTATTGAATTAAACTTCTTTACCTTTTTTGAACATTGTAATTTTATAGCCCAAAACTAGATACCTGAAAGTATATCAATGAATTTGTGCAAGACTTCTTACATTTTTTAAACGTGCAAAAGTCATAACGAATCCAGAAGACCCCAGTGTGACTCATTTCGATCATGAAAATAAAACTTTCGTTCCTTATTTAATTTAAGATACTTGCTGAACATTGATATGCATACAATTAGTTTATCGTTTTAATTCCTCGCAGTAAGTAAAACTGTTGTAAATAAATACATATGTAAAAATTTGCCTGTTGCCAGAGGGTAATTGTATGTACTAAGATTCTTATACTATGTTATTATTTCAAAATGTAATAAAAAAGGTGCGCAAACGAATAGAAAAGCGTGTAAAATATCACATTACTTAAATGCTCATTAGCGACGAATAAGTTACTTTAAAAAATGTATAATAAGTTATTTCAAAATGGTGGTACGTCCCGAAAGGACATGATTCTACATACAAAAGTAAGTCGAAATTGTAGAATAACATTATTTCATACGATGTTTCGGTTCCAAGATAATTAATTGTCAATATGCATGTAACGCGTATGGTTTCACAGTGACAATAAGTAGAAACAGAATTCAATGTCCAGACGCGTTAGCTATTCGATAACTGCGCGCGAAACTAGCAGATTTTCAAGTTCGATTTTCTCGAAAACGAAACATCACATGAAACGAATTGAATATTTTCGACTTACTGTTACATACATGTAGAATCACATCCTTCCGGGTTGTACCACCATTTCGAAAACACCGGTTAAACATAAGATATTTTTGTTCCCGCCAAATTATATTAAATACACATAGATAATATGAACGAAGTATACAAATACTTCTTTTATGTTAATAATACTCAGAATTCACGCTGTATCGGTAACGTCCAATATTCGCACGAAAACGGTGACGGGGTCCTAGTACCCCAATAGAACTGGGGCGAAAAAAACAAATTGGACGATAGGACTATTCTTGAACTTCGTCTGTGGTTAGATCCTCGCGTGAAAGCAACCAATCGTGTCCCCGGCGCAACAAGTATGTAACCAGAAGCCTCGTTTTACAACCGGTGCCCGACGTATCATACCGAATATGTAACCTCTCTAGCCCGGAGTGATGAGTACAGCACACATCTCTACCGAGAATACAGATAGATACACATATATAATACACTGGGCGGTCTTATGGTAGGGCTGAAGTGGACATAAGAGGGACAGGGCAATAAATGGAGCAGCTTCATGTCTTTCTAATGGGGCTGTTGGGGAATTCTTCTAGGGCTGTAGTGGAGGCATGGTCGTAGCCAGGGGGAATTGCTCCCCAGAACGGAAAAAAGTAGCTTTTGCCCCTCCCTACAAGAAAATAATTGGATTTTGCCTCCTCCCCTTTCTTCCCAGAGTTACAAAATTCTGGCGTAATATTTCATATTACAGTATAATTTGAAACATGACCAACAGCCTCTATTAACAAAACGCATACATTTTCTACGATTTATGACTTTAAAAACAAAATAAATTGTGTCTGGCTACGTATAACCGTTTTCATTGTTCCAGTCGATGTTTTAATATTTTTGCCCCCCCCCCCCCGGCTGATAACCAGGCTACGCCCATAAGTGGAGGCCTGTACATGCAGTATCCCTTTCCCACATTGCCCTACAGTCGCTTTCTCCCCTTCTGCGATCTGCGAACAAGAGAGGAGCTACTCCAGCGCTACTTCTGACCTTCGGTCTTGACTGCATCCCTACCATAAGAGCACGCAGTCTATTATACACGCTATGAGAATACCATAGACATATATAATGGGCTGCGCGGGCTTATGGTGGGGGTGAAGTCGAGATCGAAGGACAGAAGTAGCACTGGAGTAGCTCCTCTCTTGCTGGCACATCGCAGAGGGAGGGGAGAAAGTGACTGGGAGCGATGAGGAGAAGGAATGCCCATGTCCCCCACCAACAGCCCTATTAGAAAGAGAGGAAAATTACTCCAGTTATTGTCCTCTCTTTCTAGTGCCGACTTCATCCCTACCATAAGACCGCGCTGTCTATTATATATGTCTATGGAAATACATCACCAGGGACCACGTAAAAAGACAGAGAACCGGACACCTTGGTTAGACCGTGTCTCGTTTTCGAACGAAACGTCTCCTCGGGGCAAAACCAGACCAACTCGTCGCCACGCTAGGCTCCTCTCTCCATCGGTAGAACAGGTTCCCTGGTGGTGGGGGGAGGCAAGTGCACATCGTCCCCGCGTGTGTTATCGCACGAAAGCACGGAGTTGGTGGGACGGGAAGGATGAACGGTAGAGGGGAATGACGGGTGATGATCACGAGGTTCCGATAGCGCAGGCCTGCCCCGTCTAATTACTCGTATTTACTCGTAGAAGGAGAAGAGGACCGCGGCCACAGAACGACGTAGAACACCGAAGAGTCCCAGGGTAGTAGACACAAGGAAGGTCGTACGTGAGGAACGAACGCGAAAACGATGGTCGCCCTCCCGGGAATGCTCGTCACGGCACTCACCGTCTCCCTCGTCTACCTTCTGCCACTCTTCGGTGAGTTCACCTCACTTTAGGGCCACTCTGTTGGCTCGACTGCTTTCCGTACCTTAGCCTCTACTGCCCTCGTGCGCTGCGACGCCCGCTATCCCCGCTACGTTCGAATCGCTGCCTCTGTCGCGAGATATGCTCATTCATTAAAAACAAATCGATCTAGCGGTGGGGATGCTGCGTCGGGGTTCGCGGGGCAAGATGGGGATGGGCTGAATTTTTGTTTACATGAAGCTTTTCGGGGAAATGAATTTCAGTTAGAACAGTTTTACACATGCTTTTCGATGTAAACTTTTCATCTGGGAAACCTTTTTTTGGGGTTGAAACTTATATTTATGGAAAGTATTTGTATAGAGTTTTAGGGTACCAGTTTTGAGTCTAGGAATCGTTTCGTTGGAAAGTTACGTGGCGAAAAATGGTGCGAAATTTTAATTTATTTTCTAACTTTTATTGTGACAGTTACGGTTATTGTTGCATGTGATTGGTTGTCGAGGGGATAAGAGTGGAGCTCATCTTTTATGTTCAAATTTGTAAACATTGTGGTTTGTGTCGATTTGACGTGAGTTATAGATCTTGTTGTATTATAAACACTATTACCTGTGTTGTTTTGTGTTTTTTGTTTTTAAAGCATTATACTGATCTGAGTTAGTGAGAGCTACTTATAAAACAAAAAAAATATTCAAAACATTATTGTTGAGTGGGTCACATTAAGGGTTAGTAGATACGTGAAAATTTCGAAGTCCTTTTTTCTTAATAACTTTTCAATTGATAGATTCCTAAACTCAGAATTAATATTTTTGTATACATATTACATATTTGATACGTGCTTTCAATCAATATAAAACAGTGGAAAAAGAAGTTTCTCGGACCAAAGGTTCACCCGATTGTCGAGGATGGTGATTAATTGGGCATGAAACAAATTGTTCGTGGGATTACATAGAAATTTACTCAGGGAATTGTTTAACCCTTAACCTTTAGGCTGCCGAGAGTAACCCTTTTGGGACACTGACAAAACTCGAAATTCAGCGCAGTGTATATGTTATGTGTATAGATAAATTTTTCATCAAAAAGAACCAGCTTTTTAACAAACAAATGCCGCCAGTCTAAAGGTTCATAACAAAATTACGTACTCTGTACGCCACCGGTATGAAGAAGTCTGCTATTTCTCTAAATTTTTGTACTCGAAAAATTTTTGTATTCGTCTTTTAAAATTACGTAAAAAAGGAATGTCGTATTTCGTGTCCTTGAGGGTTAAAGGAAGAGATTTTTTTCGTAGATTAAACCATAGAAGTTGCCACTATTGATATACAGGGTGTCCCAGAATACGTGGGAAATATTTTAACGGTGGCTTCAGCACATCGAAACAATGAAAAAAGTTCGTATAAACATGGCCTATTTAACTTTCTTTTTGTAAATAATTCGTTCGTTACATGGACATATATAGTGTCACAGAATTCCTCTCAATTGTTTGCAAACAGAACTGATATCCTCTGCACAATATTCTTGTCGAATTTTCTACACACTATTTCTTAGTATCGCATGAGTAATACTAGTATTCTACGGGTATTTGAAATCCATTGTATACAGAAGGCCCATTGACAGTGTTGAAACTCTTGCTGGAAGAATTGAATAAAATTTCCAGCAAATCTTAGCAACACCTGGATGCATGACGAGTGTCAGACAGTCATTGGTAAGACATCTGCAGGCTTGTATTCAGATGCGACGAGATCATTCCGAACATGTCTTATGAAAATAACTTTTGTGACTAACTGTTGTACCAACTGTTTTCATTGTTTAGATGTGCTGCAATCACCCCTAAAATGTTTCCCACTTATTTTAGGACACCCTGTATCTCGAATTTTGGGAACAGGAGGAACATTTTTCAAAGAGACTATCATAATGATTTTGTTCTAGGACAACGAACTAAGTAGTGTCAATTATGATTCGTACACTCTTTATACAGTCTTTAATCATCATTTCTGATTCTTATAAAATATTGACCATCTCTGATCGACAGTTATTTTCCGTTTTCACAGATGGATATTGTTGTATTTTAAGTATAGAGGACAAGTACAAACAACGTGCAATAAGTTGACTTTTACTTAAATTCGATTAAATAATTATCCGCGATTACTCGTTCACAATGAAATATTAATTTATTTAATAATTACATTTAATATATACATTCGACTGATAGTGTTCCCTTGCCTGTTATTCGTCATTTAAAACTATTCACCATGGAAACTTTTTAAATACATTTGGCGTGCTTAAGTCATTTGTTGTTGGTTTAATATATGTTATTTGTTATATAAGCAAAGGCACATATTGTATCCAAATCAATTTTATGTTTTACAAGCCTGAGCAGTAGAAAAAGGGAAGTTGGGTGATGAAGGAATCTGGGTCACCTGTTGCTCACTTGAGTATCACATTTAATTGCATTCCTTTTATTCATATGGAAAACTGGTATATATATTTTATCGTATTTCATGATATGTTGAAATTCAATAGCTCTATTTTTAATCTTAAATGTTACTATTGTACAATACTTAAATAACCCTCTTTCTGTAGTAAATTTATTGCACAGTTTTATTAATCATTTACAAATTGTTTTGAAAATAAAATTTTGTCGAATTGATCTAACTGAAATAAAAAACAGAAGTTGTTACACGAAATACAGTACATTTTTTATTGAATTTTCCTTCTGATTGGTTTATAAAAATGCCACAGCTACATACTCGGGTCTCTGTTCTTCTTTGGTATTGGATCTCGTGCGTATTTGGTAATCGAGGTTGCAACCTTCGAGAATAATTACTCACGATGCTTTATTGGGACTATTTCTGATTACAGTTTCATTCTTTTTGCAGGTTCCTACTGTCACACGGCACCAGGTAAATCGCTCATTTTTTTAAGTCTGTAAGAATTAATAGGACAAATGTTAGAGCGTAAAAAGGAAAGGTTGCTTTTTCTAAAATCGAAATCCGTCGTCCCAGAACACGGTGAAATGTGGTACATATTTCTGGATCTATAAAATAGGAAGAATCTAAGCCAGTTTGACGGGATAACTAATACTTAGGCAACCTAGAGGGGTTAAGTATTTATGATTGATCGTCGTTCCATTCGATATTGGTATTCAGTATTCATTCCTAACTGATTTCCGCTCTCATTTACAACGCTCGAGGTAAAAAGTAGAAATCGCTTTTAAATCAAAACGATTGAGGTCTGACTTTTTACTTAATTAACAGAAGTTAAACCGATAGAAAATAAAAAATGGATCTAATTACTACGAAATTGTCTGCGTAATTTAAAAAAACAAACTTCTTATAAGTATAGAAAATTTAGAAATCTTAATTAGTTAATACTCTTGTTGTCGAAGTTTAAACCAGTACCTAAGTATGAAATTTACGTAAAACAATTTCAGTCAATTTTTAAGAAAATTATTAACAAAATAATAACAATAATTAAGGCAAAAAAATGATCTAAGGAAAACGTTAAAACACAATAACAGTACACTACAGTCTGCTAAATTTATTTGAATTTTAAATCATATATATACATACATTATTGCCACCCTGTATAATCATTCGGTCGATGTTTAAATCCATTAATTTATAAAAAAAATTTTCAACACAGTAAAATTCCCATAAAAAAATATTTAAACACCATAACGCCTTTAACCTTACCCAAAACATTAAAAGATAATCCTGTGCACATTCATACAGAAGAATAATTAATTAATTCCAGGAATATTGTGACTTACAACGCAATAAAATCACAAAATCGTTCAGCTACTCGAAAACAAAAACTGTGAAACATTTTTTCGCGCACTTCAACGACCGAATACTGTCTGAAAATGATGTAACACACAAGAATTATGCTATAACTAAATGAAATAAACCAGCATATATACTCAAAGAAACCAAAAACTTATGATGAATAAACGATCAAAAAAGTACATCATTTTTCATCGATTAAAATGTGGAAATTGTAATTTTCATAATAAAATATTAAATACTTCTTGAATGAGTACACATTTGGCAAACAATTATTTAATCTCATTAACTGTTTAAAGAACAGGATGACGTTCTTACAAAGAGAGATCCTCAGGTGTAACGCTGGCTTGTTAATGAGGTTTATTCCAGTGATAGCGCTTTATTTAATGTTACAGTTGTAGATTATATACCTGCCGTTTCTGAACTGGTGGTGCGAACAATAACATTTCTTCGTATGATGCTTCGTTTTCGAGACAATCGAATTTCAAAATCTGCTAGATTTGCGTGAAAATTAAATAGGACCTGGTTAATGCGTCTGTTGATTACATTCCATTTCTACTTACTTATTGTCAACATGAATACATGCTTACAAACTGAAAATTGATTATCTCGAAAACGAAGCATCACACGAGATAATTTTATTCTATATTTTTGACTTACTTTTACATGTAGAATCCTTTCTGGTTGCACCACCAGTTCCAAAACACCCTGTATATAGTCTATTACTTTGACATTGAATATCTCATAAGTTAATGGATATATGTAGCTGAAACAAATATCATTGGTTTTAGAATTCTAAGATCTATCACTGTACTAAACCTAATTAAAAACTCAGCGTTATGACGGTGACCTCTCCTAGATACTATTGCTTTTCACTATATGTATATTATTCGAACAAAATTGTGTCCAACTCTGCCATTGAAAAAGCAGTTTTTATTGAAAAAATGGCCACCGTGTTTAGTGGTTGTTATTTGTCTAACACTAGAACTACCGAACCCATCAAAATAACGGATTGCAGATTTTTTATTTTACAATTACTGAATTCTTAGAGATACTTTCATCGGAATTTATGTTAACCTCTAATTTCTCGTAGACTTTATATTATAGTATTCTAAGCTATATTGCATTATATATTTACTCGATTTAACTTAGCATACATTCAATGCTGGCTATTCTAGTGTTAATTGCAAGGGGAACAGGCATCATTTCCGTAACTTTGTCGTGTAGCAGGGACTCCGTGAATTAACGGTGTCTATCGTTGGGTTGCGAGGGTGTGCGTGAGCGGGTGCGTACGTACACGCAAAAGGTTGCCGACGACGCATGGATCCTCGTAGTCGCTTTTAGAAGAGCGATCCACAGACTGTGACGCTTCTGTGTCTTATGTACCTGTGTATATACACGGTTGTGTACAGGGTGCTCCGAAAATACGAATTTTGAGCATTAACTACCAAACCCGTTAGGTTGACGAATCGCAGATTTCATTATTATGACAATTGAAATTAGTTCTATTGATGGAATTTATGTTCATTTTTATTAACTATATATTTCGTATCATACTATGTTATGCTAAATTGTACTGTGTAGTATGTATACAAGGTGTTCCGCTTAATACAAGCCACCTAAATATCTTCTCCATGTGTGATTAGACAAGAAATATTTTTTATGTAATTTAAATGATTTTTTTATCGTTTTACACTTTTTACATTGCAATTCATTTTTCTGTACTTTTTACTCAAATTATTCTGTAAACTTTTACTTTAGTTACAATCACGTAAGTTGTTATGATAATTATAATTTAATATAATAATTCGGTATATTATTATTTGAATGGTACCTACTTTTTAGTTACCCTGTATATGTAACCGTGTGAACGTTCGGATACATTGCGAGCATACGCACGTACATAATGTGTGTATATACTGGGTGGACCATGAAACGTGATCAACTTAGATTATATTATTCCACTACTATCTGTTCGATCGAAATTTTTTAGCTAATATAACATAAGGTTATTGCACCAAATTTTTTATCAACCCTTTTTTTCCAGAATTTTCAAGGTCACTTTCAGTTTTTTATAAATAAACCTATAATTACTTTACTCCAAACTTTTAGCGGATACTGTGACGAAATCGGCAAGCATAAAAATAATTATTTTTTTGGGCGTAAAGAAATTGTAGATTTATCTATAAAAAATTAAAGGTGACCTTGAAAACTCTGAAAAAAGACTCTCCTTGAGTCATGTTATGTTAGCCAAAAAGAATTTCGATCGAACAGTTACCAGTAGAATAATCTAAGCTGTTCACGTTTCGTGGTTCACCCTGTATATACATATTTGCTGACATAAGTATTCGCGCAGGTCCGCAATTCTGACCGGGACTTTTATTTATGTTTTAGCGGGTGTGTTCGTTTTCTTGCGCCAGTTTCGCGACGTAGAAAGCAAAGCCAAGGTGAAGCGTGTAATCGGGAATCGATTTTACGTATCGAACACGGTGTTAATTTCGGGGCTTAAAAAGCGGTTTCGTTTCGATGGCCATAATTAACTTTGCAGTTTAGTCTTAATGCAAACGTGAAGAGTGAAGGCGTATTCTACTTTGAAGGTACTGTGCACAGTGAATAATATTAAATCAAAGTTTAATGCTTTAAACACTTATATCAAGCTTGTATGGCTTCATTCAAGACTGTAGAGGAAACAAATTTTTGTGCATAATTTTAAATTTGTTTTGTACTGAAATTCGTAAGAATTGATAAATAAAATATTCTATGAATGTAAAACCACTAGTAATATACGATTCAGGAAATTGTTACAAAATTTATACAGAAATGTGTAATTAGTTGACCCTGGAAAACTAAATTATTGTTCCATTGGACTGTATCAATTCATAGTAAACGGTTTATAGTCAAACAACTGCATTGTAATATGTAAAATATTTTGTTTTTACTATTTAGAGAATTTGAAAAATTATTTTATTCGGTGTGTAATTAAACAAATGGAAACAGAATTTCCCAGACGTAATAGAAAAAAGTAGGAAGAATATTTTATATTAGGTTACATTTTTCGAAGAGAAAAGAATATTTACTGTGTGTTTGTATGAAAATTTGTAAACCATTAAAATTTGTACCCATCACTTACTTTAAATTCTTATTCTTTAATACATTTCAAGTAATTAGTAGAGTCTACTTGAGATAGAGGAAAGGTAATAAATTTAAGAGTCACAGACTGAAACACGTAATGTATCTTTACAAGAAAAAAGAATAATTAAATCCACTTAACGATATTTAAAAAATCATGTAGCAATTCCAGCAATAATAGCATTTTAAACATCCCAGCTCCTTTAACAAGAACAAGACTTAAAAAGCCACAGTAAGATCACTAAACAGTGGACGTTCATGCAAACATGTATAGATATTTATGAAATAATTTACAGGGACTGTAATGGAACAGAAATTTATATACTCTATTAGGAATTCTTTTAGATTCTAAATAAAATAAAAGCCACATTAAATATTATTAAACTTTCCATCAAACCGAAATTTACAAAACTAAATATCCCATAAATGCATAAATCTACGGCTATACTAATCTGTAACAACAAACTACGAAACCACTATTAAAAATATATATTCCATCAAAACAATACATACAGTATTTAAACTAAAAACCACTACAGATTATATAAATTCTCAGTACCTTCCTCACATTAATGCATTCATGAACCACTGCTACTCCACGACCAGTATTCAAACAAACAAAACATTTATTTCGTAACTCATAAGCTTATGTCGTAAACAAAATAAAAATCACATTAAGAATTATTAAACATTTCATTGTACCGAACTTTAAACAATCGAATGCGCTATAAATGCATAAAATCGACGGTCTAACGATCAGTATAAACAACGAAACCAGTATTAAAAAGATATTTATATCCCATCAAAACAAGATGCATCGATAACTCGATACTTGGACTAAAAAACCACCATTGATTAATTAAATTCTTCATTTATACCTTCCTCATTTTAATATTTTCGATAACGAACACTGCCCCACGACTAATATTCAACCAGAATATTGATTTAATAACTCGCAATCAATATCCCTAACACAACATTCGAACGAAAACAAAAAAAGTACAAAGAAAGAATTCATTTCGTAACTCGTAACCTTATGTCGTAAATAAATGTCATATTAAACATTAAGCTTCTCATTACAAGGAACTTTAAACAGCCTAATGCGCTACAAATCAGAGTTGGGCAAAATGTAATCTAATTACAAAATCTAAATTACAATTACAATTACAATTACATTGTAATTTTACAGATACATTGTATTTTTGCAGGCACATTGTAATTTTACAATTACATTATAATTTTACAGATACATTGTAATTTTACAAGTACATTCTAATTTTACAGAAACACTGTATTTTCACAATTACATGTATTTTACAGATACATTGTAATGTTACAATTACTTGTGACTTAGATTTTGTAATTAAATTAAATTTGGCCAACTCTGCTATAGATGCACAAAATCGACGGTCTAACGATCAGTAATAAACCACGTTCCCACTATTAAAAACTATATTAACTAAAACCCCACCACTGATTATTTAAATTCTCCGTTTATACCTTCCTGATGCTACTATCTTCGCGAACGAACACTGCCCCACAGCCAATATTCAACCAGAATATTTATTTAATAACTCGCAATCACTCTTCCAACCACGGCAATCAAACAAAAACAGAAAAAGAACAAATTTTATTTCGTAACTCCCAATTATTGCACGATGGAGCATCCTATCCCACGCGAGCATATCGCACGCAATCACGGCACGGACACGATCCCTAGCCCGCATGTGGTTCTGTTGAATCGTCGGACGCACTCGTCACAGTCTCTCACCCATGCACACACGCACATATACGCGCGCACGCGGCCCCCCGGTATCCTGTGTGTCCCATCGGTTTAGACGAGCTCGATTCCGGCGTAACAATGTTTGTCAGTCGACGCGTGGACTCTTGTCGGGTCGCATTCCAAAATCAACCGTCGATCGCGTGTAACGCGTTTTCGGTCCTTTAAACCGTTCTGTATATAGTATATACCGTTTTTTTCCATCGGGCTCGATACCCCCCCGACGGCCATGCACTGGAGACTATGGGTGATTCTTGTAGCTGTGGCCAGGTTGACCAGCGGCTGGAACGCGGTGAGCGGGCAGAAGTACAAGCTGACGAAGACTTTGCTCTTCAGCGAGGCTGCCCCGTCGAGATCCAGCGGGGACGTTGGCTTGAGACTGACCAGTGAGCTGGACGTGACCGCCGTTTGGCAGTATCCCAACAATCCCGACGTCGTTTTGCTGAAAATCGAGGTATTTACCCAGACCCTTTCCTTATACACGAAGATATTAGGTTTTAATAGTATTAATTGTAATTTTTAGGTAAATTTTATTTACTAAAAATTACATTTAATCGATATAATACATGCCGTTCTGTTCGATGACCTTTCTCCAACTCTCCGGTAGCTGCATAATCCCGCGCTCATACATAGAACTTCTGAGGAACAGATCCAACGACGGGGCGAACTTTTGCACCAACCTAATATTTCGGTTTTTTTTTCTTTTGCGGTAGATGGGAGTAATTGTGCTACTCATAACTAGATTGTGCATGTTTATGCATTTGTAGCATCTTTTAACCCTTGTGTAGGCAACCGGGTACCCAGGTACCCATTTCTAAATTTCCTTTTACAATTTTTTTATGTTCTTGTCTAAAACAGCACTTGGTATATTATAGGAAGGGGAAACTCAGAGTTTCGGGAAAGTATGAAAGGAAAAGTATCTATGTTTATGTAATCTGTCAGAATAGGAGTATTCCGTTTGTTTAATAACCGGGAATATTTTGGTTGTCCACACAAGGGTTAATTTGGAAGTTTAATACTATTTACCTATGTGGTATTATTAATGTAGTAAAGCCTCTAGTACAGAATTTGAAATTCCATTCCAGTTTAATTGTAAGAAATTGGCATTTTGAATTGTAAAGTAGAACCACGTCAGTTTATATGAACGCTACATAAATATGCAAAACATTGCTTTCTAATAGTTCTTTAGAATGTACCCCCACTACATGGCGTGGAGAGTTAAAAATCATTCTCACCCAAAAAAGACTATGTCAAGGTAATAATATTAAAAAGAAGTTTACGATCAATAAGTTGAAGCATTAAAAAGTTACAAAAATATACATTCAGGGATAATAGAAATGTCAATATCTCGAAATCCCAAAGATTTCCAGGTTCGTCGCAATAAACTTTTTTATTTAGTAAATGATCTATCAAATGTCACAGGAGTCGTTCGCGAACGCTAAACAAAAATTTGGGCCGAAAATGACCATTCTCCTTTGCATAACCTCCTGCAGTCTACTCATAACAAATACGACCCTTATCAAATGTTTCGGTTTTTGTAATGACAACAGATTCTTGTCGTCAGACACGAGACTCAAGACGACTTAATGTACTGATGTATTTTGAAATGACAATTAATCGATGTTTAAGATTCTTAAAAATATGCCAGAGTATATTTTACTCATCTGGAGAAGAAAACGAAAATTGACGAGGGTCGTTTTTGTTAGGAGGCTTCCTATTGTTGCGATAGCTGTCATGGGCAGAGTGTATTGGCGTGGAAAGAGTTTTTGCGAAGTCTGGCCGTTGGGATCGATGGATCGGAGGATCGGTAGGATTTTCATTAGAGCAATTTGCAGGATAGGGAATCCGTAACTAAAAGTTTTATTCCAGTGTGCACTGTGCAGAGCTGATGAGATGATTAGTGAGGCGGTACAGGGACAAGAGGGGTACATATAGAATGTGATAAATAGAATAGAACTTTAATTATATGAACGGATCAAGTTACACGATAAACGACGTATGTTGTTTTACTGCAAAAATGAGTATTCGTTATACAGTATTAATAAAAATTTATTTCTCTCAGTTCTGTTTTCCTGCTGTGTATTTTTCTTAGTACAGAAGTTTTAGGGGAAATGTTGTTTTGCGTTTCATACAATCTAAAAATAAATTCCATGAGAATAATGCATGGGAGTGACTCAGAATGTTCTCTTATCACTCTGTAATTTTCTTTCTCATACATCTTTCTTACTTTATTCTTCTATCTCTGATAAATGTACTTTATACTATATAATCCATGTAAAAGTACTTACACACTATTGTATAAATAATCAAGATTCTACTATAATTTTGTACATAACATGTATATATAAACTATGATTTTTTTAAAGGTATTGTACTGATACAATCACTAAATCATTACATGTGTATTACAGTTTCAAACGTATTTAAAAAAATAAATCCAACTCAAATCCTTCTATTACAATATTATTTGAAACAAATTAAGATACATATTAATTCTTATAATATCTTACTTAATAAAGTGCGATTTAAAGTGAATAGGTTCAAATATCAGGTTGAGTATTGATTCAATATTCAGTGATAGGTTCGTCAAAATCACACTAAATGTTGCAGTATTTTAAATATGTTGCAACACAATGCAGTATAACAGCTAGTATCATCGAATTTCTCTTTTTCTCTATTCACTTTTTATGAACAGTTAGTTCTTTAAACTGCTTCAGTTTCGTGATGGACAGGAAACATTAATTGCATTGACGGCTCATTAAGATTCTCTTGTCTCTACGATCCCAAGGACAAGATTTCGTGCATTAAGAATTCTATGTTGCATTCATGAAATCATTCTCATAACGTGAATATATTACATATTAACTTAAAGATAATATTTCGGTTGAATGCATAACTGTGTTCATGTAAGCAGTCTACTTATCGAAGAAGAAGTGATAAGTATTGAGAGTGTATGCGTTCTCGGTATAAACCTGATAACCTTTAAGAAGTCAACTCAAACGTATTTTGGCAGATATTAAAACGAATACGTAGCTCAAATTGAATTAAATATTTTAACTCTGAACAGTATTTTAAAATTTTTAAGTAATTGTTCTTTCAATTTTAAACTATAATTAGTTCTAATTTAATAAATCTAACAAACTTGACATTTAGTTGCTAAAAATTAGTAGATTAATTGAACGTATACTTACTTAAAGTATTTGTAAGAATTTTACAATTTAAACTGATCGCAGAAAATATCGATAGTCAGTTAAGTAACTTATAATTCGTTTCGTATACACAATAAAATTGTATTTATGACGTAATATACATATGTATAGAATGCAGGCTACTCGATTTCATTATCGTAAATTGCAAAAGTATATCAATATATCCACCTGATAGTAAATTTACTGCGCCATTATTTTTAAATTAATAACTTGGGGGCAAAGTACATGAATTTGAAAGAACAAATAATTACAAAGTAGGTAATATAAAAGATCTTGCTCCTCTTTAATAGTGGGTCATGTTAATTCAATAATTTAATATATTCACTTATTTGAAAATCAGCTGCAAATCATTAGTTCGATTAGAACAAAATTAAAATGTTCAATTAGGTATATATTTATTCTTATTAAAATTACACTTCATCTATTAGGAATGAGTTATAAATAGTTTCAAACTCTTCTGAATAAATAAATAAGATAAAAACCTTTTAACGAATTCTTTGAATTTGAATAACTTTCCGAGAATAAATTATTTAAATCGTTTTATAAAAAATAACTAATTGAATAAGAGGAAGGTTACTAATGCTTCAGAGTCCGTATATGAATATTTCAATTATGAATAATTAAATATTAATTATAATATTAATATTTTTACACAAATTCATCATTAATAAAAGAGACTAGACAGAATATTCTCTTAAAATATAATAGTAAAATAAATGAGTCTCAATAATTAAAATTCGGTTGAATTTACTAATTGAGTAATAGTTTATATAGGTACATATTATAGAAATTCAGTAATTTTTATTTTATTCTTTTCTTTTATGATCACCTAAAATTCTAATTGTTAGTTATATGTATAATGATTAACATACTAATCTTATTTAACATGCTTGCTTACTACCTTGAAATGTTATGCATTGTTTAACATCGAAAACTCTATACTAACTTCAGGAAGAATAGTCACGTTATTCAAAGTCTATGTAAGAGTGTCAATAACTGTGACGAGACAATTGTTGTTTTCCCTAGAAAACGTCCCTACTTAATAGATTTGCTTGCAGACCATCACGACCAACATAGTTTCGCATCTTTTGTTGACATCTATGGGCTGAATGAATTATATACATTTCACAAAAATTTCTTTCTACCATCAACAACGATTACTACAAAAATTATTAAGTAACTGATGCATTAATGCACTTATATGGGTGTTCCTAAAATACGGGTCCAAATTTTATGTTCTACCGATCACAGTGACCAAACAGCATTATGTAAACATACGTCTGCAAGTGATTAGCTTTCCAAGATATAGCGTTTTAAAGTTTCTCATTGAAGAAAGTGTTTTCATTAGTTCGTCTGTTGGAGTACTTCACGGTTTGTTGTCAAATACGCTTGAGAGACTCCTCATTATTTCGAATAGATTTACTACCTTCTACGATATGGTTTCGGAGCCTACTAATAAGCTCTTTGATCAAAGATTCGTTAAATTAGTTTCAATTCAAAGTTAAAGAAGAAATTGTTACATTTTTTATTAATATACCACGGAAGTTTATTCATTTACAGCATCCCTTAACTCAAACAATGCAATAAAACAAAGATTTTAATAATATTTAACGTTTTTTTTACTAAAGCTTCCAGTACAGAATTCAAAATTTAATCCCATTTTAGTTTTTAGAAATTAATGTACGAAATTATGAATTTGCATACACTTTCGCAGTTCAGTTATTAGGGTTGTTGCTCTGTTTCAAGACTAAAATTTTCGTTTGTAATTCAACGTTTAATAATAAGGCTTTGGCTGTTGAACATTGAAAACTAAGAAAGCCATTAAATAGTTCTTGATACGTAATGTGTTAAGATAACTGCTCGTAATCACGTTTATGCTGTGATACTTTATTCAAACATATCTTTTCGTAAGAAACTTTGAACTGCCCTATCTCGGAAGTAAAACATTTGTAGATCTGCAGTCTCGGACAAATGAATACGGATACAGACGTTTTCCTATTTGTTTACTGTTATGGTGATAGTACAAAAGTTCTGCTCTGCGGAGAGTTTACCATTATTTCTACGCTAGCTTTCATAAAAGTTACACAGAAATAACTACACATCAAAAAATATAAATTTCATCTACATATATTCAGGTAGACAAAACTATTCGGACGTTCCAGTCACAAGTATAAATTGTGATCTACATATATGTATAATCATAATCTCCAAATATCTTTATTTCGCCATTCGAGGATGGTACGAGGCACAAGTATGCCAAAAGTTTTGAAACAAAAAATCATAAACTCCTCAAATACAGGATGGTCCACCTACAGGTAGCCACCTAAATATTTTCTTCAGTTGCGATTATATAAAAAATATGTTGTATGCAATTTTAATAGTGTCAAAGGACGAATACGATGCAAAGAATATTTTTGTGCCGATATCATTTTTTGGAGTTTTCATGGTTCCCGATGTTTTTTTTGCATATGAGTATTCTACAATACATTCCTTTATGCACTGTAGCCGACATTAAAACGCATTCAGGGATGTTAATGACATGACCTTGAAGTGACCTTGAATTCTTTGCAACGTATTCGTCCTTTGACACCATTCAAATTGCATAGAACACATTTTTTATAAGAAATAAAACTGACCTGAAGGAGATATTCAGGTGGCTACCTGTAGATGGACCACCCTGTATAGTGCCAATATCCATTGTTTCTAGACATGTGGACATCCCGAAATATCTGGCATATCCAATAAAAAAGAAAAATAAATTGTTAAACGAGGTCACTTGGAATATATATCGAAGCGTGGTCAACCTAAAAAACAATTATGCAAGACAGTCCTTGATTATTTAAAACAAATATCTCTAATTCAGATGCTATAGCAAAAAGTGTTTTCCCGATAACATTTGTCCAGTACTCTAAATCTGCTTTTTTATTATCGTGATGAGTAGAATGTACTCATAAAGATCGACTCTATGTTTCAGGAATACCCTGTACGAATTTAAGTTGTAATAACATCCGTAATATATTTTTTTTAACAGATTCAGTCACCACAGCTATGGATCAAATCTCGCAGAGCCCCAGAGCCGGAAGGTTTCGTCGAGCATTCGTCCAGGGTGGACATTGTCGGCGAGAAACCGTTGCTACTGCTCTGGCGAAACGGCGAGATACTAGCGATCTACATGGACGAATCGGAGACCGTGTCGTCGGCCAATTTGAAACGTGGCCTGGCTAGTCTCTTCCAATATAGAGTATTCGACGGCGAGATCCAAGAAAAAGACGCGTCCGGTCTCTGCAACGTCACCTACCAATCCTTGGGCCCGGAGACAATAACGAAAACCAAGAAATCCTGCGAGAAGACCACTTTGCCAGCCAGGAAACGCCATCCAAATCCACTTTTCCGTGTGAATGTCGTCAGTGAACATGCTTCCACGTACGAACTCACCAATTCCCTTCTTCCAAGCATGGTTCACGCCGAGGAAAAGCACAAAATGATGCTAGCGGCGAGCCCAGAAATCGGTACCATTGTTACGTCTGCAAGAACACTTGAACTGGTCCCAGGTGTCTTGGAAACGAAAACTGTGACAGGTGATAGCGTGGAAGAAGCTATCACTTTTATAGGGCCGGCGTTCAGAGAGAGGAGCATCGAGCTTCAATTGGAGCCCACCACGTGTCCTGACGGTGGATGTCCAACGGTTTGTGTTGCACAATTTCCCAGTCGACTAGAGCTCTTACTTATTCTACTTATTCGTAGGGGGTATGGTCTGTGTGTACACTGACGTGCAAACTCGGCTTCCGCTGGGGACAAAAGTAACGTAGGGGAAGGCCTCCTACTATACTCCTACCACTTAGTATTGGGAATTACTGACATTTATGCCAATTTAACATTTGTTTGAGTGCCTGAAATAATTTGCTAATAAGGAAAAACTTGTTCTAAATCACCTCACAAGTGACCCATTTCAGGGACCTATGACACTTTTGTTACACCCTGTACATGTCTATGGCCATACCCTCCAGTGGGCGCTAGCCTACCCGCTGCAGCCGAATTTTGGATAAGGGATTCAAGAGAACAGAAACAGAAAATTTGTCACTTGTCAGTTTGTCAGAGTAGCGAAAGTATTTAACTAGTAATTTGTTATGTGGAAAGAATAGGTTCGTCCGAAACTTGAGTAGCCTTCCTTAGATAAAATTCTGAACAGTGAAAGTATCACAGGATAGTTCTTCAATACGTCTTCTTATTTTCAAACTTGAGTAGCCTTTAAATAAGTTTCTCAACTGTGAAAGTTTGACAGAATAGTTCTTCAATATATCTATTTAAACCCCATTAGTCAGTTATTAAACATTTATAATTTCTTATTAGTACATACTTTTTCGTTTGCATTAATTATGTTTTACCATAGCAACTACTGAAAATTGGATTACTGTCATCTTCCTTAATATGGCTCTTTATACACCATTTCTAACAGTTTATTATTCTTTATTATTTTGGAATATTATAAACACACTGCAGATGTTTATACGAATTCATATTTTCACGGACTGATTTCTCTAACATTGAAAGTAAATAGAAATTAATTTATTTTCTAACGAGGAATTCACTGTATTTAGAATAAGATTTTTTCTTTGAAAAAAGCATCTTAAAGACCAATTATTTTTCTGATCTGTTCTGTTTTGAACAATAGTCTATACTATATCAGCATAAAATCTTCAAAGTAATTGTCACGAACAAACATTACCCCAAATATTAAGCTTTTATTCAAATTCAAAGAAACAATTGTACGTAGAAAAAAAAACGAATTATGACACAGTAAAAGAAGCAGTCAACCATGAATGTTCAATTATTATAATTTTATTACTATTTTAACTGTTTATTTTTAATAAAATGAGTACACTATATTTTCACCACAAATACATCGAGCGATCTAAATTTGGAAGATAATTAGTTAATGTCATACTATTTCTATGGCTTGTAAGATTTTTCAGTGAATATTAGTGTTTTCGAATTTACATGGCCTTAAATTATCTTTCTGTTCAATTAGTTTTTATCGAAGAAATAATTTTCAAACCAATCTTCAGTGTTAATCATATGTAAAAATAGAAAAAGTTTGTATATTTTCAGTCACTCAACGTGAGCGTTCTACTATTACTCTATTCATATATTATTCACGCAAAACAAACAAGTAGGAGACAGGAAATGCGTGACAAACAAAATCACTAAATCAAAGGAGAATAATTTTAGACTTCCCGGTCTTTGTAGGCTTCATATTCTATTGCTTTTGGCTACGTAACAATCATTACATCAATATGCGATATACATATATCACATTAAAATATCTAAGAAGGCCATCAACGAAACGTCTTACCAAATTAATAAATTGCACACGAATATCTAGACTGGTATGCTTGAAGTAATTTTATAAATAGCTGACACCATTTCGTGGTTCAAACTTCTGTTCTAAGTATATTGAAAACTGTTCTTTTTCATTAGCAGCTAATATACCTTACATCTGAAAATATCTCTTTTAATATTTACAAATATCTGATGAAGATTTCGATCCTTCACAATTTCAATTGCTGTAGAAAAGGGGTACAAAATAGCATGAATATTAAATTTAGAATGAAACTTGTGTTAATATTTCACACTAATAATACTGAGGTATATACTAAAACAATCATTCTGTAAGCTTCTTAGAATATAAAATTACACTTATCTCGCGTCTATATATTTTATACTATTTAAACTAATACAACTACTCTACGTATGACACATTTGAACAATAGAATTTTATCAGTATTTATTGGGAACCATTAGTTAGAAGAATATGTCATAGAAACATAGATTCAGGTGCGTTATTTTATGCCAAACTAGCTTTAAAAATGGAGATTTCTTCTTTTATCATCTATCATTACTATCTGATAATAAATACTTGCATGAATTGCATCAATTAGATACAAGTGCAATATCAATTGACATAGAACCTACAATAACAAATGAATAGCAACATTAATTCTAATTTTGTTAACTAATTAATTTTATTATTCTTATTATTTATTATATTAATAAGATTGTTGTTTTAATAAGCCAATTCGGGTAAAACTAAGTAACACGCCGTTGTTGAAAAAACGCCTATGTTTGTTATGTATTGTTTTACGTATACACGTAAGGACACACCGTTGTACACGACACAGTCGAACCTACTTCTTAAAGTTTCTTAAAAACATTAAGTCTTACGTTGCCTTAAAAAACAAACAAAAATTTTAATTATCAATAAAGCAATAGTAAGGCGTTTTATCAACCAAGGCGTATTGCCTAACTTTTCCCTATATGTGTTTAAATCTGATGCCTATCTGGACTACCAATTACATAATTCCCGAAACTGTCTAATTTCAGCTTGAACAAACGATCGAAGAATACCGTAGCGCCCTCGAGAACACCGCATTGGGCACTGCAAAATCCGCTTCGGCGTTCCTGAAGTTGGTACCTCAAGTCAAGTCCGCCTCATCGGAGGAGCTCCTCAAGATACTGAAGAGTCCACGATACCGTCAGTTAAAAACGCAGCTATTAGACATTATTGGATCTACGTGCACGGTGGCGGGTCATCAGGCAGCGATGAAAGCCTTGAAACAGGACGACGTTGGCGACGACACCGAACGGTACCTGTGGGCACTGTCGCTGTCGCCAACACCGAACGCAGACGTCGCTAAGGACATACTGAAACGATCCGAGGAAACGATACAGAACGACAAAGTGTCTGAAACATTGGCTCTAACCGCGGCAACAATGGCTCGTCACCTGGAATCACCTGTCGTCGTTGAAAAAGCTAGAGTCAGCTTGGAGATCGGTCTAGACAGTTGCACCGGGGAGGAGTGCAAGCTGAAGTTCTTAAGAGCTCTCAGAAACCTAAGAAGCAAAGCTTCGATTCCGACTTTATTAAAATTCGCGATCAGTGAAAATCGAGCTATAAATGTGGCCGCCTGGAAGGCGCTTTCTGCTTTGCCCAAGGATTTTGTGACAGATGAGGTGAAGACAGTAGCAAAGAGAGTCTTCTACCAACTTAACGGGCCTAAGAGAGACAGTACCGCTAGAACCCTCGCGTTAGATATAATTCTCCAGAGTAATCCTTCCAAGGAGGACATTTCAGATCTGGTGAAATACTTGGCAGGCTCCGATCCGGCGTATGAAGTCCGAAAGTACTTGAGCGAACGTTTCGAGCAGCTATCCGGAAAGAACCCTCAACTGGCAGCTGACCTGGACGCGATTCTGAAAGAACGTGGAAGGAACGTGGTCAACTATAACGTGTACTCGCAACGTGGCCTGAGTACAGCGTTCTCAAGGAGCTTCTTGAAGTCACCGGACAGCAATGGATCTTTGGTGACTGTCCAGGAAATCAACGCGGGATTACTAAAACGAGGAATCGTCGATGTAGTGTTGGAAGTGGATGAGCATAAAGAGGCTTTGTTCTCTCTAGGACTCTTTACCGCTGCGCTGGGAAGCTTCGTTTCAACTACAAGCCAAGAGGAAGACTCTCAGGAGGACGATCTACCCACCGCTGGGATGGAGGTGGATTTTCTAGGCGTAGGCATCAGACCATTTACTTTCTTTTCTGGGCAAGGAGAGTTGATGAGTCACGTGTGGTCTGGTACTGCCTCCGAACGAACTCCAGCCTTCCAGGCTCTGTCTTCCGTTTACAGCTTCAGCGAATACATCCCGTTGGCCTCTGGCATGGTAGCAGAGATCGACGTTCAGGGTGCAGTGAGCTTCGACCTCGCTGGACAAATTCAGCTCAGTCTTTGGTCCAGAAACGCTAAATCCTCGGTGGATCTGAAATCTGGCGTAGTGATACAAGGTGGTACCAAAGTGCGCTCGGACTTCGTGCAGAGTATCGCCGAGTTCTCAATGACGACGGAGCCGAAACTGGAGCTGGCCACTGATGTAGAATTCTCCGGACCATTGTCTTTGTGCGTGAGGCTCAGCCAACCAGAGAACACCGTCAGATATCAGGTTTACAAGATCGAGAGAATAGCTGGCAGCAGGCACAAGCTGAGGAAGACCAGGAGAATGAGGTTTCATAATCCGGGCAGGTCGTATCTGTTGAACAGGAAGAACAACGAGATGTGCTCGAAGGTGTTTAGTTGATTTTGAAGACTGATCGTTTTTGCGGAACTTGATAAAGTTTATGAAGACAGTTTTATCGAATATATTATTTGTTGTCCTTCGTAACGTGTGGCGTGTTGAAAGTGGCATCACGTGCGATCTGATGGACGCCCGTTGTATACATAGGTGTAATGTATTTTTATACTGTGCGCGCATCCTTCCGTGCGACGCGATTCGCGGACCAGTCACTGTTTCATTGATAAAAGTCACTCAGTCTTTCCAGCTAGCAGTATCTGTTTTTCTTAATCTGACTGCATTTACGCGTATACCAGTTTTTATGCATTTTTTTATGATGACTCTTTGTTACCAACATGTGTATTTTTGATACTTCGAAGATTATACAATATTGAAAGTATTTGCGTCAGGTCGAGTGAAATATTGTACAGGGTGACCCATGTACTGTGATCAGTAAGAATGTTGATTTAAACTATTATTTTTTATAACAAACACTTTACATACATAGTATACTTAAGAAATAACATATTCTAAACATTCTCATATCTTTGTTATAAATTTTTATTAGAAATTCGCAATTGGACAGAAAATGTAATACGATGTGATATCCTATTGAACTTAAGTATCTAGTATATAAACAATGTTTTTCCAATATAACTTGTAGTAAAGGACGTTCAAAATGTTTAAAAGGATTTGAGAAATTTATTTATTGGAAAAATAGCTTAAAATAATATTTGAAGTAATTATGGTGTATAGACTAGTTTATATATCATATTAAAAAATATATGTATACAGGTAAAACAGATATCAACGCTCAAGATATTTATAAATTAAAATTAAGCAATTCACATACCAACTGATCATAGAGGGCTGAACATACCGCACCACTTATTCCAATAAAATATTTTTAATGTACAAAACTTAAAACAGCACGACATTGTACATGAAATATTTTTATTCAGACATTAATGTAAAATGTGATATATATTAACATATCTGACATATCATGTCTATAACTGCTCGGAAGTGGAAGAACGAATTTTAACTTATTCACCTCTTTATAAAACAACGTATCAACATGAAAAATCGCAAAATAAATTAAAAATATATTGCGTAACATATGAAACTAGTTACATCATTCTTTTCTCCCAAACATGTTTTTACTATTCATTGACTAAACTTACTTCCTCTAAAGACGACAAAGACCTACAATTATATGTATACATAAAACATCACTCGAATGTTAGACGTCGATTTAAAAAAAAAATACAATCCTGAGAAAGACACATATAAGAATCCTCATATCCCTCTGACGTGATCATCCTATCGAATTCCAAGCACAAATCTCAAGAACTTTCATTCTCAGGCTAGTCCCGCTTCAAAAGAGACACAATAAAAAGTAATCGATGCATTTAATTCACCAAATAGACACACTCAATTAGTCACCCAACTTAATCACTATTCTCAAACTCGTACTCAATTCTATATCTTCACCGACAACCACACTCCGCGACAACCATATCCTCGTAACCATATTGATAAGTCAACGTCCCACTAGCGTCAAGATACAGTAGACTAGTAGGCGCCAGCCTAGTCGGCACGCAACAGGCCCTCCCGACAAGTTTGTTAAGGCCCTCGTTGCCCTGAAGGGCACCGTGCACCAAAGTCTGCACAATCGCGTGCTTCGTGGGACTCAGATGGTCCCCGAATGGATAGAAACACTTTCCAGCGCATTGATACGCTTCATAGCCGGGTGGTGCAACGACCCATTGGTCGTACGCAATCAGTGCGAAGTCTACGTACAAAGAGCGACGTCTGCATGAATTCCTGCGTCTTCTGCGGGCACCATCTTCTTCGACCTGGTCTTCCTCTTGAACGGACCGCCTGGGCCTCTTCTTCTTGGTCTTACTGTAACTCAGTAGCAAAATCGGGCCATCCCCGCAAGGTTGATAGCCCACTCTACCGTAAACACGAAGTCTGACCAGACTACTATCCCTGGCAGTCACGACGGAAGTGACATTGAACGCCCTCCAACTGTCATCCCGCCTGGACGTACAGCTCTTCAGCAGGTTCACCTGGTCTAGACGCACTCGGAGGATCGCACCAGCGACACCTAGCAGCTCGGCGACTTCTAACGTCTCTTCTGGATCAACCGGAGGCATCGAGAACACCAGGATCCTCGCTCCGTCGTTCGTTGGCCCAGTCACTTGGATCGGTTGAAGGGCACGGACTATGTCCACATCTGATCTTCGATGATACAGCTCGAGCATGTATTTGGACATCGCACCACGATACCTTCTGTGGATCCTGTCGCCTAGTTTTCTGCTCGTTCTGTTGAAGGATCTATGCAGCACCGAAGCAGACGAGGCTGGGATCGACAGATCGAACTGTATCGACGCCTTCGCGTGTACAGTAGATCTCTGCCAGGATAGCGAGCTGGTCCTCCACAAGCCGTAGATGCAGCAGGTCCCGAGGACGAGTAGCAGAATGTACTGAGAAGAACTCATGACGCGCGGATCACACAGTGTAGGGTCGGATTTGTGACTCTACTTCGAGGGTATGAAACATCGCATGATTTCGACCCGGTGTCGATCGGATTCCGCGTCGAACTGCAAACGAATCCTTGGCTGAGAGGCCGAGGCTGAAGGACTGCATTTAAATAGCCGCCAATCGAGAGCAACGGGTCGATGTTGCCCCTGGAATGTCCTTATCGTCCGCAGACCACCACTCGAGTTACAGGTACCCCATTCTTGCCACGGCCCAATTTTTGTTAGTTCTTTAGCGTGTATGCGCCAGTGGGTATGTTTGGTGTGTACAGGGCGTTACTGAATTGGAGGAACATTCTGTCATCATTAATCAATGAGCTTCAACTGTGAGTTTTTAACAGACATTGGAAGGATAAACAAATGGATACGTTCTTTTAGATAAATAGTATTTAATTTGCTCTAATATTTTGAGTCAGAGTAAGTATTTTGAAGACATGTTTTTGGACAGATTTCAAGTAATAATTTTTAAGTATCTGAAGGAACTTCATAAACATTTATTTGTACATTTTTAAATATATTTATGAACATTATAAAGAGTATTTATAACAATATTTGTTGCTACTACACAAGCAATTCCTACAGAAATATCCTTACACTAAGAAACCAATTTTATTAGCCTAATAACATTAAAAGTTGTTGGTTTACCAATTTCTTTTGTAATAATATTCCAATGCTAAATAAATGTATTAAAAAATCATAATATGTAGGAAAGAAAGTAGCACTCTTTTTCTTGAATATCACAAAATTCAGTGGCTGGTAGCAACCCCTAATAATTAACTGAAAAAGGAATTGTAAGAATACCATATTACTTACTCTGCGGGTGAACACATTGACAGAGTACCCCATGGAAAAATACAAAAGAAAAGTGGTTAATTGTGCAATTTTACAGGTTCTCTCAAATTTAGCTATTTCACGGCATCTCTTGTTAAATAGCTTCATTCTATTACTAAAACGAAAAATCAAGCAGGGGAGGTCGAAAAAGTAATGTAAATTTGTTATTTTTTTTTAAAAAAGCATGGAAAATTATTCGAAATAAGACACTCAACATCGATTTCAATGACATCTGCGTATGCTATAGAACTCCCCATTTTGGACAACTTTTTCCTGTACATGTTAGCACCGATTGGGTTCAGTTTCCAAGATATTTATAGCTACAATTTAGAAAAGCCTTTGAATAGTACATGGTATTCGAATATTTGAATATTCGAATACTATCAAGTATTCGTATTCTTTGAATGCCTGCACACTTACCAACTAATCTTTTTAAGTAAATAAGCACCACCCTAATGAACAATGTACGATCATCCAGTGAAGACCTATCCTAGACCAATCGTGATTGATCGATGAATCAAGGTGGCAGATATTATCGCCGCGTGGTTAGTACGCAAAAAGCCGACGGGCACTTTCACTGTTTCCCCCCTTACGGATCACGCCTGCGTGTCTTCGGCCAAGGGAAAGCACGGGGTTGACTAGTAAGGGTCGTTGCAGTGGCCGGCATCGATTCGGAAAGTGACGTCACGACGCCAGTGAAAAGCCGCAGCGCGTGGTGTTGCCGGTGTCACGCCGTGGCTCTGACCCCCAGTTCAACTCGCCTGGCACGGTGGTTCGGTCCGTAGGGGATTTTTCTTTCATTTCCCTCGAAGCGGCGAATCCTATCAGTCAGTCTGCCAGGAGGATCGCGCGATAGCCCAGCTAATTAGTTTAACCAAGTAAGTAACGACGGCGACGTACGAACGTGTTAGGTTTCACGTGCTGTTTAATTCGATAGAAGGCGCCGCGGTTTATGAACTGCCTGACGCATGATTCGTACAGGCAGACCCCAACACACGTGCATTATGCTGCAGTGTCATTTTCGGGTGGAAAGTTACCATTTTCATTCGATTTTTTCTTAATTTTGTGCTGGTTTTTTTTTATGTGATCGAACTGTCTGACGCATGATTCGTACAGGCAGGTCCCAACACACGTGCATTATGCTGCAGTGTCATTTTCGGGTGGAAAGTTACCTTTTTCTTTTGGTTTTTTCTTAATTTTGTGCTGGTTTTTTTTATGTGATCGAACTGCCTGACGCATGATTCGTACAGGCAGGTCCCAACACACGTGGATTATGCTGCAGTGTCATTTTCGGGTGAAAAGTTACCTTTTTCTTTTGGTTTTTTCTTGATTTTGTGCTGACTTTTGTGTGATGTGATCGAATATTCTGACGCATGATTTTCACATAGACAGTTCCCCTACACGTGCGTTACATCGTAGCATTTTCAAGAGAAAAATCACCTTTTTCTTTTGGTTTCTTCTTGATTTTGTGCCGATATTTTTTATGTGATCGTATAAAAGATACACAGGCAACCTCCATGCACGTGCGTTACAGCGCAGCGTTTTCACAAGAACAATTATATTTTTTTTTCTGATTTCTTTTCAACCTCGTGATGATTTTGTTTGATGTGATCGTTTTGGTAGAAGTGAGGTTTGAGGAAGGAAAAGTGTGTTCGGTTTGCGAAGTTAACCATTTGGCAACGTTAGATGTGGTGAGAATGGAGTAGATAATTTGTAATTATTTTTTGGTACGTATATTTATTGTAGGGAGATATTTTAAAATTTAGAGTGTGATGTTTGTGATATGATTGAAGGAACCAGTGTTGCTTCACTATTCTTATGCACTTATTCGTAAATATTTTAAGTATTTAAATTTAGATTTCTCGTTATACTGAATGTTTTAAGAAAAACTTCCGGCGGTTAGTTAATGTGTTAAACTATTTTATCAAACATTTTAAATTTACTAAAGTTTATAGGTAAATTATTGCTATACTTAGGTGTATTTAAGGAAATGTGAAATTATATAGAAACTAGAGACTAGACATCTTTTTATACAGCATAATTATTATTGGTGTTCCGTAATTATTGGTCAGAGCAGTGTATATTTAAGTGGCAGTAACAATTTTTTGAGAGACAATCAGTTACAGTCGAAATGGTGGAAGGTTAATGTATTAATTGTGGAAACAATATACACGTATAAAATTATGACTGCAATCTAAGATCATAAGAAGCTGTTAGAAGATAACCTAATATTAATGCTGTATTCATGATATATTTTAAAACTCTACAGTTACTTAAACTGAAATTTCGGCCAAAAATTATATTTCCACTATTTATTTTGGATATCTTTGGAATCGAACAGTAAAGAACGAAAACGTAATTTGATTTGATTTTCAACTATAATAATAGATTCTATTTATTATATTATAATTCTGTTAGAATAGTACAAGCCATTAGATTATTTCTTTATTTTACCAAAGCTTTTAACATCTTAACATTTAAAATTTAGTACATATCATTTTTAGGAAGTGGGAAATAAATGTTGAAAATAATAATTTAGCATCCTTTTATTCTGAAAGTTTAATTTATATATATACAAAATAAACAGTAGCAATTAATTTATTGAAAATATAATCGCTTCTTTCTCAGTAATTTTACTAGTAACGATTTGTTTCAACGGGACTAGGAGACATGTAGCACATAACTGTCTCGTGAAGCCTAACTAACCTGTCATTTTATTACTCTGTTGAAAGCTGGAAAACGTGTGAAATTTGGGAAAATGTTATTTTTAGTCTCAGAGCGGTGGTAGAAGGCATCACTCAATCCCAGAGACACTTAATGTAATATTAGAATTAAAATTTTTTTTATCTTTAATCAAAATAAATAGTCGTCGAACAGAACCATAGACATAAATAAAAGCTGTTGTTTTTCATTTTTAGGGTAACATACATTCGACCAATTTTTCAAACGAATCCCTATCGATTCATATTCATAGATTCATCCTCAAACAATCCTAATAACAGTGACTCACACATTCTATCACATATTTTCGAAACCAAAATTGAGTATAGAAATGTACTTTTTATTTAGATATCCTCAATGTCCTTACTTTTATCATCCTTGTTGCGACCTAACGCAGGTAGACGATGGTCACAGCGATCGTTGCATCTTGGGTCGTCAATACAGTCAGCAAAATGTCTGTATCACATGCAAAACATTCACTGTCCATAGACCATTTCTTTATTTATTGTATTTCGACGCTGACTTCCAAGACTCCCAGAAAAAAAACACCAATCCCCACTTCTTCCACCTCATACTACCACTTCTTCTACAACATACACCAACCAAAATCCTGTATTTTCCACCAATCACAAGTCGATCCCTTGCAACAAGCGTTTATGCGTATAATCACCAGTCAGAACACATTTAACCATCAACAAAAACACATCTCTCATTCAGAACAATCATAATTAGTACACACATATACATACAGCACATTGTTACATTTACGTTTATATTGAAGTTTAAGTGTGTTACAAAGTAGTTTAGTACATCATACACCATAAGATCATCTTCGAATAAGGTCTATGACATTAATTTATCAACAAGCAGTGGCAAATCACATCAATCCTTTTGTGATAAATTTTTCTTAACATTGTAATAAAATTTGCAGATTGGTACGTAATTTGGTCACTTTTGATTTTGGACTTTTGGTCAGATAAATATGACATTCTTGCGTGAACAAATTTGTGGGTACTCCTGAGTATGATTACAAGTGAAGTTTTCAAAATCAGAGTGTTGTGTTATCAATTGAACTGTTCCTTAACTTACTTCAAGTTCATGTGATTCCAATACCTTGCCTGCCATGTAGGTAAAGTCTTAAACAAAATTTTTATAAAACATTCGTGACTCGTTCTGTGTTACGACAACCGGTATTTAGGATGATCGACGTTCCACCGTACCCGAAAAGAAATCCAAATAGACCACATACACTACCGTCCAAAAGTTTTGTAGTAGTCATACAGTATGACTATTTACCTCTTAATTGAATACATAATCCATTATTAATGTGTTGCAAGTAACCATTTATAAAGAAGTTTATTTTTTTTACATTTTTCAAAAATTCTTTATTTTGTCAAATTCTGCTTTATGTGCGCCATACAACTCCGGGAGTATTTACAACAGAATGGAGAAATTTAGTTACAGAATATTTTAAGGAACTCTTAATAGAAATCCCAAAATTTGTTTGCGATTTATTAAAACGAAAGATGGACGTTTTAATGAGGGAAAAATTCGATAAGAAGAGGTTTTTTTTACTTTTAAGTTGATTTTATCATGTATTATATACAGGGTGGTTCACCTAACATGACGACCTCAATTACTCGTAAACTATTTTGGTTGTATGAAAAAATATTAGACAAAAGTTGCATAATATCAAGGGGGGCATATAATGCAATAATACGTCCTTTACTACGTCACATTTTTATCAAGATATAACGGTCACCTTCAGTTATTTAAATAGAATTCCCAATATTCCATCCCGAATTTTGATAAAATATGAAATACTGTACATTTCCAGAAATAACAGTAAATTTTTGTAAGATGTTATTGTCATTACTCCGATTAAAATGAGACCAAACATGGCATAATGTAGACCATATTTCTTTATTAATGTTAATATAATTAACTAGACTTCTAAGGATTTTATTGAATCGTTTCCAAACTCTTGAACGCTAGTGTATCTACATACTTGTTCGATCTTTTTCCACTGTTTCAATATCCTCTACTCACCGCTGATGTAAGTTCTACGTGTTATGATACGTCGACTATATTCAAAGGATCGAATTCTCGATCGATGTGGTTTGAACCAAGTGTTTCAGTACCAGTTCGACGACTACCTGCCTTACCTGGGCGGTGCTGCGGGAGTTCTCGTAGTCACCGGAATTGCGGCTTACTTCGCATCCAGGCCGAAACCGGAAAAGCCGTTGTGGCCCCTTGATGCTCAAGCTGTGATACTTCCGGTAAGCAAACACCCCTAGCTGCGTTAATTACTGATTAAATTTTCACTGTTGCATAAAGAAACATGACTTTTTTCTTGTAGATTATTATGAGAATGACAGTGATGTTTAGGAATATTACTTACACTACCGCTCAAAAGTATCCGAACACTTGGTCGCTGCAGTTTTTAAGTGTTCTATCTCCACTAGTTTCTAAAATGAGAAAACTGAGTTTGAAGTTTACGAAGTTTAATATTATAGAAGCAGGAAAGTAATGAAATAATTAAACATACTATAATACCATCTACAGTAAATCCTTGATGAGTGTTCGAAGGCTCCTCGGTATTGAACATTAAATATTTCATACACTAATAACCATATGTGATTGAAATAAGTATCACTGGATTCAGAATTTCAAGCTCTATCACCACGCTAAACCTAATTAAAAAATCAGCATTACATCTGGGACCTCTCCTTGTTAGTGCTGAGAAGCCTTCGAACACTCATCGAGGATTTATTGAATAGCTATTTACAGTGACTCCTCAATGAATGCAATACGAACAACGGTGTTATTTCCAACACTGGGGATTCCCCCTGGGGAACCAATCAAAACAGAGTAAACAGAAGCTAAGCAGAGATTCAGCTTCATGCAAAAAACAAATTTATGAGGGGCTGAAAACCTTTTCGCCTTGTCACGAATGCTCTTAGCGGACTCGATTTCGTCGCACTTATCGAGACATTACTGTATTACAATGTTTAACAAAATTTTATTTTATTATCAACATAAGTGTTTAATTGTTGTTCAAAGTAAGACTTAGAAGAATATTTATGTTTTTCTAGATTGAATTTTCTTTACACACTAATGTTTTCATAAGTGCGACGTACTCGGATCCGCTTCAGAGCATTCATGGCAAGGCGAAAAGGTTTTTAGCCCCTCATAAATTTGTTTTCTTGCACGAAGTCGAGCCTCTACTGAGCTTCTCTTTACTCTGTTTTGATTCGTTTCAAAGAGGGACTCCAACAGTGGTGGGAATAACGCGGTTGCTCGTGTCGCATGCATCGAGAATTCACTGTATTATGGTGAATTTGTGTTTTTTGGGTCAATGAGACGCACGTAGATTGATTAACTAAATTTTTTTGAAAAATGGAGAACAGTAGTAATATTTTTGACAGAATGTTATTTAAATTACATTTAAAATTAAAACGGACGCATAGTAATTTGATCATTTATTATTATCACGACTATGTATAACAAAGTATTATAATACAATGAAATTGATTTTCGTGCATAAATTAGTTAACTGAAATGCATTAACAAAATTCGTGTCCATAAATGCCGAACCTAATAATTATGCGATGGGTTGGATAGAAAAGTGGGAACTAAGTTTCAAAGTAACTTGTGGAGGTATTTGCAATAAACGTGGAAGGAAATTAGTTTAGATACCATTAAAAAACTGATAGAAATATTACCACGGTCAATTCAAGCAGTAATATCTAATCACGGAAGACACATCGATAGATCGTGTACTTAATTTGAATGTACTATGGATAAGTTTTAAAATCAATAATTTTCAAATCGTAACTTGCATATTCTGTAAAAAAAGGTAATAAAGATTACTCTTAGTGACTATTCATACATTTAAATAATATTTATGTATTGTTACTACATATTAATCACGTGTCCAGATACTTTTAAGTGGGAGTGCATTTATAGAGTTTTATAATATTTTGTACAATGTTCTGTTTCTGTGTATAGTGATCTAGTACTTCTTTTATATTTAATAAATAGCATTTAATATACTAGTTTCGCTTATGTTTCATAAGAATTCTACAAACATGAAATGATACGTAGGATCTCTTAAAATTTTTAAAAGGCAGGTCTTCAGAGACTTTACTTGCACACTTCATAACTGTGTGAAATAATTGTTAATTGAAATATAATATTCACTGTAACCGAGAGAAATGTAGGTGGAATGAAGTATCAGTTGACACTTACACGACGACAGTGACGTGTGTCCACTAATAGTTAGCACTCACATGACTGTGACCTCATCGATAGTCATAGTGTTGATAGTATCAAAGTATTCAGAATAATAACATTCTCTGATACAATTAGTTTCTTATATAAAAACCTATTTCCGTTTTTACAATAATCAATTCTTACGGATTTTAATATAATAATGAATACAACAAAACATCTAAAAATACAGTGAATGCATATTGATTCTACTGGAAGGTTTACATACAGTGACTCAAGTTTATTCACGAAGGAATGTCATTTCTGTATGACCAAATTACGTATAAAAATGCGAATTTTATTTCAAAATTAAACAAAATTTGTCACAGAAGAACGATAAAAGTATGGATAACGGGAATATATAAATAGAAATTGTATACAAATTTTACAGCTCATAGCTATTTCGGAAGTATGTGAACGAATGTACGAATCACTGTATAATTATTAGACTGCAGATTTTTATACAAAATGACATTTTCTAAAGTAATTTTTTACAACATCAGCAAAGGTAGGAATTTCTTTCTTTTCTTAAAGATCCTATTGGGTTCAGAATACAGTAGAAAACACATTGCATCTGACTAAATAAAACCTTTCAATATATATTTATCTTGTAGTATAATATTTACAAAATAGCACTAAATGATATACCGTATTTAATTTTTACAATAACATTTTTATCGAATTTTCATGTGAATATGAAAAAAAATATTTATCTTTTTGACTTACTTAAAACAATCGTATCTTTCATTAAAACATTTACAATATACCATCGAGCAAAATATAAAGTACAATTTTTGCAATAACATTCTTATCGAATTTTCATATTGCAAATATAAAAAAAAATATATATTTATCATTTTGACTTACTTACAACAATCGTATCTTTCATTGCAAAATTTACTCTATACTATCGAATAAAATATAAAGTACAATTTTTGCAATAACATTTTTATCGAATGTTCATGTTGCGCACATGAAAAAAAATATATTTATCGTTTTGAGGTACTTAAAGCGATCCTATCTTTCATTACAAAAATTCAAATATAACATCGAGTAAAATACAAAGTTTACTTTTTGCAATAACATCGTACTTTACTAATTTCAAATATAACAAACAAGAGTGAACGAAGCATCGTCGCTGACTCATTGTCAGCCAAAAGATCTTACATCGATTCCCAACACAACCAAAGAAGAATCATCCTTGTCTACGACGAATATTACTCCAACATCAAATTCTCTTCACTAATCGACGCTCCGAAACATTCAACCCAACACTATCGATACCTAGACCAACACTTCCCTGATATTCAGGTATCGACTATCGTGATCCAAGTATCAGAACTAACGAACGCTTCTCCATACCCCTTCGCGACGTCGAAGTCCCCGATGTTGATCGATTTTTTTCGCGGCTGGCGATCATCCAACGAGTTCGGTGGCTGTCGAGGACGACGCTCGCACCACCAGCTCGGTCCACTATATTTAAATATAGTCGAAGATCGTCGTAGAGGATGGACGACTGGCTAGTCTTATGCGCGAGCTACTGATAGCAGCCGCTCCTCTCGGTGGAGCAGCAGCGGCCAGCGCCAGTAGCCGTACTTCTTGACAAGAAGCAAAGTGATCCAAAGCACCGAGTGTCACGACGAAGGAAGTCGATCGGGCGTGCGGGCCCGTCGTCGTCGTCTCGTAACGAAGTGAATCGTGTTCCCACGGTTGGAGAATCTTCCAAATCAGTGAACAGGGGATCAATCGACCCGTAGACGCCCGTGCGGGCTTCCTCTGTGCATCGTTCGGCGGACGACAGCCCGAGATATGTCGTCGAGTTGTTTCGCCCCCGATCCCATTCGACCACCGATCGACCTCAGCGAGCAGTCCGATACAGTCAAGGTGTGGAGTGTCATGGTTCACCTATTAACAGTGTTCTCAACCCTTGGATCACCCCATTAACGATCATCATCGACGACGTATCACTTGGACGAAGATTCCATTGCGTCCTACCTAGACACCAAGTTCGATTCCGGACATTATTCTAGTTCCTCGTAATTCTTGTTAATTAGACACCACTTTGGGCTACATTAGGATCAGCCGAATCCGTCTGACGAAATCTTTCGACCATGTTCAGTGGGTTCGTTCGCGTCGGTTGTGTGGGTGGGCTAGACTTGTTGCACAAGACCACTTGGCATCGGTCTAGAGGATCGAAACCGTCGTCTTGGTTGATGGGTAGTAGCTAAGGAAAGCGGGAAGCGAGATCGGTAGCTTTCTACTACCAAGGATAGTCCCGCGGGATATGATTCCGGCCTCCCTGATGCACCTATCCCGTCTCCACGCGACCGCCTATACTTAGACCTGCACTTGGCATTCCGTTACGTAAGCAACGAACACAGCGGATCTCTCACGTGTGCGAAAACGCTTTTGCAGGGTACCGACCTGATCCGAGTGTCGAGGTTTTATAAGGACAGCAAGGAGGGAAAGTTCGTCAGCAACATCCACGAGGACACTAGGACCCTGTACGATGGCTTCCGGAAAGGCGCCAAAGAGTCCAGTAAGTTCCGCGGAATTGTTTAATAGAGCAGGGTAAAAAAATTATTACAAAATCGATTTTTAATTTTTAATCAAAGTGGTAACCTCCGTGGATAATTTTAAGACCAATTTCAACAATTTTTTACGAGTAGAAGTAACTGAATTGCAATTTTTGAAAGCCCGATGACGTATGAAGAGGTGAATATACATCTTCGGAATGCTGTTCTGTAAAACCATGTTTTTGTAACTTTCTAGTACACTTTTCTGTAGAACCACTCAGCGAAATTGCAAGTTTTCGTTTCTTCTTTAATTCGTCAGTTTCTCCTCTACAAATGAATCGATCATAATTTGGAAAATGTGATGATTTCTTTGGAATCAGAGCAGTTCACAAAAACTAAATATCAAAAAAAACATTTTTCTGAAGTTTACATAAAAGATTGACAAATTAATTTGTCCCTATCATGAACGATAAAACATTCTCGTCAGCATAACGAACATTCAGAAAAAAATTGTTTCCAAATACAGTACTTCATCAATAAATGTTCGAAGGCACATTGACAGGGAGAGGTTCTCAAGTGTGACGCTAACTTTTTCATGTAATGTTATTTATTTTAGCCGCATGTGGCCATTATTTATAAAATACTTAATAATCAGTGTCGAGAAGCCATCGAACACTCATCGATGATTTACTGTATACGTATTCAAACCGGCTATGTACCTAAAGTCGGGTTGTTTTTCTTATAATTTGTTACCAGGTATATTCTTTACCCTGCTCCCTTTTTCTGACTTTTAAACATTTCGTCGGTCTGGTTTCTAAGTGTTCTATCTTCACTAGTTTCTTTACCAAAAAAAGTGGATTTAAAGTTTACGTAGTTCAATATCACAGAAGCAGGAAAGTAGTGAAATAATCAAACAATAATAACGTCTATGCGATATCTGTTTGTTAGAATATTTAACCTTTTTGCTACTACACGCCACTATAGTGGCTTTCGGGGATGTCATCTCTGTGAATGGTAGGCCACTATAGTAGCTTTCGCAGATGTCATCTCTGTGAACGATAGGCCACAATAGTGGCTGACTTTTTTATCTCATGTTTAAGTCCTTGTACATTAGAAGTATAAGAATAGACCGTAATTTTATTAAATTTATGGCATTTGAAGCCACGTGCACATCGGCTTTGATTTTTAAAAACCATCGTATCGGCTTCGACACCAATGTCTGTACTAATGTCGTTTTTGCGCAGTCAGCGGCAGAGCTGGCAGTACGGAGATGCCGCTCCGCGTTTAGTTTCGCCATAGTAAAATATTAACAAAATTGCACCTTATTATCAACCTAAATTTTTCATTATTGTTAGTATTTGGAGATAAGAAAAAAAGCTTTCAAAGTTTCGTAGTTAGGACTTAAAAGAATATTTGTTGATTTCTAGGTGTGTAATTGAATTTGTATTCTTTAGACGAATGAGACGCACATAGATTGATTACCAACATTTTTTAGAAAAATGGAGTTAGAACAGTTAAGAACTCGTGCGACGATTTGAATTTTGTATCACGTGACGGTCACCGGTGACCGACACAGCGTGAACAGAAAGATCCCGTGTCGGTCACCCGTGTTAGTGTGTTAACGGCGTGATCACGCGTTGTGTTTTTAAATAAACGAGCAGTCTCTCTCTCTCGGGCCCGCGCACGCGGCCGCGCGTTTGGCAAGTGGCTGCTCGCCGTCCACGTTCTGCATGACAAACACCGCCTCGTGAACCCCCGGACTAAGAAGCCCGAGGATTCTCTCGCGTGGATACCCGCCGTCGTGTCGCTGATTTATCGTAAACCCAATGATCACCGAGTGTGCCCAACCCGACGACGCTGTGCGTTTAGTACGACGCGGTTTTTATTTTTAACCTCGCGGCGAACCCACGCTCCGGACACAGCGACACGGGACACCTGTCGTCCTCAGGGACGGGATTGTGTGTTCGTTCGATGCGTTCGTTGACGAAATTCCGTTGACATTGAGAGAGATTTATTTTCTTGTGATTGATTGGGTAGCTGGCGAATTGAACGATAACGTGGAATATGCATTACTGGTCATAGTAGACTGAGGATTTTATGCGTTTATACCCTGTAGGGATTCGTGAGATGTGGAGAATGAAAGTTTCATTGCATACCGAAGAGTTTTCAACGAGGGGTGTTTCCAAAGTTCTGGGAATTGTATTATTAATTGTTTATTTGGAGAACTGTCGAAGAACTACTTCCTCAACGATTTCGATGGTTTTATTATTTAATGTTTAGTTTTGTGGAGTCTTCGGACACTCATCAAGGATTTACTGTACTGTGTAGGAACATTAATAAAATAAATCATCAACTTGTCGGAGAACTACTTCCTCAACGATTTCGATGATTTTATTATTTAATGCTTAGTTTTGTGGAGTCTTCGGACACTCATCCAGGATTTACTGTACTGTGTGCGAAAATTAATAAAATAAATGATCAACTTGTCGGAGAACTACTTCCTCAACGATTTCGATGATTTTTAAATGTCTTGTAGAAATCAATATTCTGAACAACTTTTTCCTTTCAGGAAAATGTCGGTCGGCCGTAGTGTCCGAGATATTCGTAAAAAAACAATCAGTACGACTACTTTCCTGTTTTGGGTGTCTGGTTAACACTGGGTGGTGAGTTAGCTAACACGTTTGTTCATTGCATTCAGTTTCTACTTATTGCCAGCACGAATATACAGACAAATCTTTTTTTGTTAATAACTTTTTAACAAACAACGACCGGCGAGTAAAACCCTCTGAAGGTCACTTAGGAGAATGACTTCAGCAATATATGTCAAGGTCAAGATCATCGGAGGAGGGCCAACCGACATTTTGGTGAAAGGAAAAAATTATTCAGAATGTTGATTTCTACAATATATTCAATAATCATCGAAATCGGTGAGGAAGTAGTTCTTCGACAAGTGGACCGTTTATTTTATTAATTTTCGTACACAGTACAGTAAATCCTTGATGAGTGTTCGAAGGCTCTACGGAACTGAACATTAAATATTTCATAAACTAACGGCCATATGTAGCGGAAACAAATATCATTGGCTTGGTATTTGAAAAACTTACCAGTAGTGTCTTAAAGTTAAAGGCGTGAGTTTATATGTCATTGCTTTGACTCTTAGATGACGAACCTGGGTCACTGAAGACTCAGACTTTAAGCTTTCGATAAAACACCGGCTAGAAATTTTGATGAAGCATTTATACGAGATTCCCCGGAATCGAGTCCACTTTCCGAGAGTTAATTAGTCGGAGTTGTCTTGCTGTCAGTATTTTCATTGTGTATAAATTAACTTCATTTAATATTCAGAAAGAGCTCTTTTGATTGGCCCATAACTTAGGAGAACAACCTGAAGATCAAAAAAACATTTGAAGAAAGAGATAATGTTTGACACAAAAATTAATTTTATCATAATATCCCTAAGTAACTATAATATATAATGACAGACAAATAAAATCATTGCAGGACCTTTCATCTGTGACTTAAATGACAATTTATCAGAATAACGTAGTGTCCGAATATCTTTGATCGATAAGTATACATAGCAGTGAATGGAGAATAATTAAAATTAAGATTACAAATTGTTTTCTTGAGAGTTCGTGATAAAATTGCCATTTTTCTTTAAAGGATATGTAACCATTCAAGTGTTTGATTGATTAATATTTCGAATAATGCGTTGTTCACCATGATTCAACTCTTCAAAAGTTAATCTATATTATTGACTCAAAAGTTTATTTTTGTCGATAATTTCATCATGTTATTAGTAAGTTGAATTGAAAAAGTAATTGAAGTTCGTTTCTTTATGGTATAAACGCATGAAATCTGCAGACTAGTAATATGCAAACTGAACCCAGTGTAGGGTTGGCAGCTCTCTTGAAACTTCCCCTTAGTCTTCTCAGGAAGAATGTACACAATTCTGACGAGCGCTTATAAAAGGGGCCGGGCCCCAGTTGAAACATCAAAGGGGAGAAACAGAATCTGTAATAGTAACACATTGAGGACCAGTGCTTTTATACCAGTGCTTTTATACTGTATGATCCACGTAGAACGATGAAGAATTTAACATGATATTATGACATAGAAATATTTATATTTACATAGATTATTATTATTAAAGGTACTAATATATCAACAAATAATTTTGTAATGTAAATAATTTTTCTAGAAAATCATTAGTTTTTTGTCAGCCGTTTTAATATGTTGAAGTAGCTTCAAACAATGAGATTCGGACTGCTCTTTACAATTGTATCTAGTTCGATTCTAATGGCAACAATTTGTAATAAAAAGGATTCGAATATTGTTGACTGTTTTTTAATACCTCTTGTGTATAGTAAAACTGAAAAACATTCGTATTTACATTTCGTATTTCAAAATTCAAACCTGAAAGTTTTTTATTTTATTCAAGAAATGAATTTATTATTAATATAGTGCACCATTGTTATGTGACTGCATATAGATGTCAACAATTCCACATTATTTTATTTTTCTAAAGATTGCAACATTTTCCAGTGATGCTAGAAACTTATTTATTGTGTAATAAGAAGCTTTCACATCAATATATTTACAAAATATTAAATGGCAGTTTCCTTTTTTAGATTTATCGAACTACGCATAATTATGCAAATCGTGATGTCAAAGATACTACAATTGCGAATCTGTTGATTCCTCATGTAAACATAATTAAAAAAGGCAAGAAAAAATTGCTTTGCATATGAAATTGCAGTTTGAAAATTAATAATTGTAAATCAAAGGGGTAATATCTCTAGAATGCTGATGTTTATGTATTTTTGACACAAGCAAATATGCAAAACACAAGGGAATATAAATTTCAACAAAAAGTGATTGAATTTTTTATATAGTTTGAAATTATTAAATGTTTGATTACAGGAATGAATTTTTCTGTGACTTTGATTTTTGCAAAACATCTCATAAAATATATTTTTTCATAAACATCCACCATCTAGTTATTGCCTGATGTATTTTTTACAATAACCCGTTTTAAAACAATAATTAGAAAACAGTAGAATCGACGAAAAGCAGACTAGACGTACCAAAACGAGTGCCGCAGAAAGTGAAAACAGCAATTGATGGCCAGACGTGACAGTCAAGTTGCAAAAAAAAACAGATGTACTCCACTTTAAAAATCGATGTTTCGTACATAAAGTCTTGTGTGTATAACAAAATTGTAGTCGTTGTCGTATCGTCTCCAGTCTATTATTGTTAAGATTTTAATATAATTTGAGGTTTTTCCATTCAATGTAGTGATATACGTATCAAGTAGCTGAAAGGGTTCGTTCTGTGGACCGCAATAACATATACATTTTCATGAATTTTTGAATGGTATGTTCAAAAATAGATACTTGTAATTTTTGCGCTTTCAGCACAGGAAAAGAAATGATAGAATAATCTTTCGAGGAATTTTCATACATTCCACATTGCGTCGTTTGTCGATGACTCACGATATTTATTAGAACTAGAATTTATGTTAAATTTGAAAGTGTATAATCTTGGGCTCTATGTTGATACAAAAAAAGGGAAAGAAATTGAAAGAGAGAACTCAATTTTATTATTTAATTTATCACCAGTATTTAAAAATATTGAAAACAGTAACTAGGATAAATGTTTAGGACAATCGTTACCAAATCATATAAATTATTTAACGCTGTCGCAAAACTACGCCTCCATCAAACACATGCAACCAATAATGCCTCCTTGCATAGCCATCATTAACAACCCACATTTCATAAAATTAGATCACTGATCCATTGCGTGCTTATTCAAGAATCCATAAATTACGATTCCAAACAAACATTGCACAAAGCAAACATAGACCGTCATCCTCAAAGTAGACGTTACTTATTCCTCAGTGACGGAGTTTCAATTGAGACACGAATACTGAACAGAAAAATGGCTTAAGTACATTTAAATGTATACAGACAGTCTTTCATTATGTCCAGTCTTCAAACAACCATACCCCAAGCAATCGTAAATGCACTGCTCAAAACAATTAAATCGTACAGTAACGAGCAACAACGTTACCATTTTTCTAATTCTTTGTGTTTCTATTCTCTCTTAATATCAACTTAGAAGCTTATTATACTGGATTTTATATAGGTTTGAATTCTCTGCCAGAATATACATATATTAAACGCATACAGTGGACTCTTACGATATTGCCGCGGCTCGGGGCTGTAGAAGAATAAAATTCTCGAAAACGGCAATGCATCGAGAGCCCCCTTCTTGGTGATGGCGTACGGAACGTGGTGGGATAGCGAATTTGTGTGCGTGAAAATACGTTTGCAGGGCAAGCGCCTCGGATGGCAATAAGCCAAGCGGTAATATCGTAAGAGTCTACAGTAATAGAGTTTTAAGTTGATGGTAACAAACAATAAAAATAAAAAAAATCGTAAAAGTGTAACTTTTGTGTCTACTACTGTGTATTACAGCCATTCTTCTCGTCCATACGATGTATAATCTCCCAAAAATTTTCCTATACAAATATATCTAGTATTAACTAGAGATTAACACTAGAACTACCAAAACAGTCAAAATTGCTGGTTAGTGCCTATACTCTTATAACGATAATTAAAATGTTAAAATAATGCATTTCCCCAGATCTTTTACAATGTTTATTAGAACATATAAGTGAAAAAACGAGTTAATTTATAAATTCGTATATTTTCAAAAATATGTCATATTTATCGATTCGATAAAAATAGGCAGGGCTCGTCAAATCGCGCCGAATTGCACTCGCCAGACAAAAACAGTACTCACTCATCTCAAAAAGACATAATTTTTAAGAATAACATAAATATCTTACTTTACCCATACACTGTTGAAATATAGGCATAGGCTTTTTAGGAATCAAACTCCGAAACACCGTAATTTTTAGTCGCCAGGTGAAAAAATCGAGTCGTCACTGTGGACCGAGTAACTGGATTTGTCGATGCCTGGAAATAGTTATGCACTGCCGGTGAAAAGTTTCCAACCACAGTAAATCCTCGATGAGTGTTTGAAGGCTCCTCGGCACTAAACATTAAATATTTCATAAATTAATGGCCATATGCAGCTGAAACAAATATCATTAGTTTGCGAATTCCAAGCACGGATTTATATTTCTACTGAAATACTGATCCATTTTATCAAGAAAAATAACAGTAAATTTTATTACGTACGTATATTAAAGATAATAATTGTAAAGACAGTGTGAATTGTCGTTAGAAATTGTATATTACAATTTCAAGCAATACATGTCATATACAATGAAGATTATTATTATAACAATTACCTACCTGTATTGGTCCCAAAAATTTAATAGTGACCTTCCATAAAGCGAATTATCGTATCTACTCCGAAATGAGACGAAAGAGTCACCTTCATGTAACTACCCTACTTGAGATTCAATTTCTTTAAAGTACGATGAGCAGTCATAACACGTGGAAAACTATAAACGTAGAATACCATAGTAACAAATAAAACTGGTTTTATAATAACTATTTTAGAACGTGCCCGTGTATTAAGGAGCGTATTGGGACATTCCACACAAAATCTGACACTTTTTGGAGTAACATTTCGAATTGTGTTAACACTTCGGATATGTTCTAGTGTTTACTGATCTACTATACATATGAACGTGTTTCCAAGGATTTTTTAAAACTTTAAAAATTATCGATCTACAACTGTTTAAAATATAGTGTCGAACATTTTTCAATAAATCATAATTGTTGAACTAACAAACTGATCGAAATGAGCTTGGTGGGTACTTACAGAGAGGAGACATGAGAGTACCTAATAAAAATGATATCAGCTAAAAAAAATATGTAACAAATTTTAGTGTCCATATATTTTCAAATTTGTCCATGAAAGAGACAAACAGGACTATAATATCTTCATTTTTTTTACAAATTTTTCAATTGGGTTCTATTACTATAAAATTGCATTTCTTTAAAACAATTGTAAAACAAATGGTTAAAAAATGTCTTTTTAACTGAAATAATTTTTATTAGGTACTCTTATGTCTTCACATAAGTTTTTATTTATTGAACAAATGTTGACATTATATTTCAAACAGCTGTAAACTCAACAATTTTTAAAATTTTGGAAAATCCTTCGAGATTCGTTTATATGTCATAAAAAGACTACAACATATCCAAACGTCACCAAAATCCAAAATGTTACTCCAAAAAGTGATCGATTTCGCGTGGAATGTCCCTATTTGAAGAAGCAGATGGTGGTCGGAAACTTTCGGCTGGCAGTGTACGTTTATCATTGGTAGTTCTAGTATCAATAGTGTTAGTATTGGACGAAAAAGATTAACTTAACAAAGCTATAACACGTGTTTTCTCCCTCTCGGCGTGATGGGTGCAACATGACCGCCCACATTAGCGATCACCTAACTCTTTCGAGCGGTGTATCATTCCTCCCACTGATTTCTCGCGATTTCTTGCATACCGTCCGTGTCAAAATTCGTCGTAGTCACGCGTCGCGCGATTTCCCGCGAAATTCGCAAGTTGGCAGACCGCGGCGGACGCCAGCAATTAGGATTCCTGGATCCACGCGTTTCCTCCGCTGTCTCGCAAGGAAATCATTGGCTCCGTTTCTTGACGTGCAGACAATGGCCCTTGTCTCGGCTGGCGGGACGGACCCAACAAACCGTACCAGTGGCTCCATTACAACGAGACCCTGCTCAGGGCGAAGAATTTCGGGTCAGGCCTAGTGTCCATGGGCCTATCACCAGGTTCACACACACTGATCGGTTTGTACAGCCAAAACTGTCCCGAATGGATCCTCACCGAGCAGGCCTGCTACACGTATTCCCTCGTGGTGGTGCCCCTCTACGACACCCTGGGCCCAGATGCCTGCGCCTTTATCATCAATCAGGCCGAAATCAACCTGGTCGTCTGTGAGAATGACAAGAAGTGCAATTTGCTGCTTGATAAAGCGCCCAGGTATGTTGAATTCGATTATCTTACTGGTTTTGATGTAATCTAAGATTTGAGGCATGAACGATATGGGATCGTAGAGTCCTTATTGTTGAAGTTTTAGGGTGAAAGCAATGTCATTGTGCAATTATTTTACCAACGTTCCACAAGCATTCCAGCTAGCTATCAGGGGGTCGATACAGTACCAGTGTGTCAGTTCACCCTCTGATGAAGCTAGCTGCAATGTTTGCGAAATATTGCGATAATAATTCCACGAGGACACGGCTTACATTTGAAAGCCTCAGTAGTATAGAACTATTACTAAATTAAGGTCTTGATGATGTTTTCAAGAGTAACAACATTGTTGAAAAGAATTAGAGGATCGGTACTGTGGATGATGCTGTTACCCCAAACAAGCTAAATGCTTTAAGATTAAACAGTCGACATAATTGTCCGTATGATACTAGCATCTACGTTTATTACTATAAAAAATTTTCCCAGAATTACTACACGTCATATTAACTGATGCAGCGATTGTAATATTTGATTCTCTGATTGTTTTGAGCAGTGTAGATATAGTAGACTCATGTTATACAGTTTGAAAAGTAACCAATAGGTTGACACTTTAAGGTTAATATGTATGTAGATCTACGTGTTTGTAAATTGATTTGACTGTGAGGTTACCCTTTTCGTAGCGAAACTTAATAAAATATGAGGTCACGTCGATCAGTAGAGGATATTTATGCAGAAGAGACAGTGAATTTGTAAAATTACCAGTTTAAATGACCATTTATGGGGTGAGGCCTAACTATAAAAGGAGTTGTAGAGAAATATGTTGCACAATGAGACTAATAAGGATTATAATAGGGTTGAGAGGTTGCCTGCGGTCTTTTAGGCCTAACCTTTTTAACTTTCTGTGATAGAGGCAGGTTTCGCGACTGTATACTCAGACCGAAAAAATTTTGCTATATCTTGTCATTAACGTCGAGAGTTAACACGTTGAATGACGTGGGGGTCACCAGTGACCGGCACTAGACTTGGCAATGGAACTGTAGAGATCACTGGTAGTCGATAATCTCAAAATTAATTGAAACATTAATAAAGTTACATCACAGAGATAGCAGTATTTATAAACTTTTCAAGAAGCCATTATTTTAGTGCTCCTTAAATCACAATAAACTGATCCAATGTTAAACTTCAGTCGACAAAATATATTGTAGGTATGTTAAAAATATGTAGACAATTTTTATATAGGCAATATTAATACTAATATAAATATTATATAATGCAATATAAATACTAATTTCTATTGTTGTGATTGTGTTGATTAAATGATATATGTTAAATGATATAAAAAACAATGTTTTGATAGCAATGCACTCTTCAAACCTTAATGATGTCGATTTTAAGACAAAAATAAGCAAACTGGAATCATAAATCACCAATAAAACTGTAAATAAGGATTTATTAATGTTTATTTGATACTTTGTAATGGTACAGTAAACACTCTAATATTCTATTACGTAAGATTAATTCATTAAATATGTAATATTTTGCCACTATAAGACAAAAATTCATTCCTCTATTTCAAAATTCGTTGCTTAAGCATTTTTAACGCTACTTTATGATTAGATTTTAAAATTTACCTATTGTTTCTTGGTAATTGTTGTCCTTCTTTAATTAAAATTAATCGAATGTTCAGTTTTAAAATAATAATGTCGAACATTTTAATGTTAATAAATTCGTAGATCATGCAAATCGTAGATCGCATGTTAAAAGACAACGTCGAAATATTTCAATATACTTTCAAACAAATGATATTGCAAATTATAATCTCAATCATTTAGAATCGTGACTTTTGGTATGTTGTGGCAAAATGCCACCGATGCGTACGTATGTGTATAGTTTCCTGCACTTCATACGACTTACGAATCTCACGTGGTTGGTATTCGAGTCAAATTTAAATACTCCTGTGCAATGTCCTGAAATATTTGACGAAAATAACTCTACTTCTTAACAAAAACGACAAAAAATGATTTTATAAATTCCAAACACAATAATGAATTTATAATAAAATTGCTACTACGTAGTACAAATATTTCATTTAACCATAATTAACAGATACATTAATATACTACAAGTTTTTAAGCAATAAATAAATTATTATGATGGCACGCAATAAATATTGTCCCTCAATATACATAATACGTTGATGTCTGTAATAGTCTTGTTAAATGGGTTTAGCAACACGAAACATTAATCTTCTTACACTGTAACACACTGTTGCGTTGAGCGAAGCCGTCCAAACAATTTCTTCAGAAATTAAAAATAAACAAAACTGCCGGTAGAGGAGTAAAAATACGTTATCTATTTTCACGCGTTAAGTGAATCTGTACGTTAACCCGTTAATTTCGTTCAATATTGATGAACGCTGATGAAATCTTTTAAAAATATCATTTTTGCAACACGTATTACCGAAGGTTGTGTAATAAAATAATATTAGTATATTGGTAGCAGCAGTGAAAACTTAACAGGAGAAATTGAGCGCAAAGAATTTAAATGTAGAAGGAAAAAACTGAATGCTCTATTCCTTCATAATTTAAAAAAAATGGAAGATCAGTTACAAATGGAGGAAGTCTCAAGAAATTAATTTTTAAAAGATCTTATCAATTCTTCCTTTTTTTAAGTTAAATAATTTTAATATTTAAACAGTTGTTTTCTTCTCATGATGAATAGAAATTGACGTTATATTTAAGGACTATGTAAGCGTACACATATTTAGTCACTTACGTGTACATAAAAATTTGTTTCGAAAATATGACAACCTTCTTTTCACACATGATTTCATTAAGAAATTGCAAACTGTAGATAAACATAAAGTGAAGTATTTTGGCTTTTACAAGGATTTTATGATATTGTAATCGGATCTAAACCTAAACAATTGGTTATATAAGAATAACGAAGGATTATGTTCTTTATTCGATTCGGCTAAATTACTATATTTTCTCTACTCATAAATTCTCTCAAAAGTTTACTAACATTATGTAGGTACCTAAAAATAGGTGTAGATTAACTTAATTCATACCTACAACAAAGGTTCCTTAAATGATTTCGAAGAATAAAATAACAATATGTCCTGATAACACTGATTTCTGAGACATGAACCAAATTTGACTATAAATACTAAAATAAATAGAAACAAATCCCCTACTAATCGAAATCTTTCTCCCCAGATGTCTAAAGGTGCGTATCCACTTGTTGTGTATCCTCGAATCGTATCACCGTTGTGTATCAATATGGACGAGCAAGCGTTGCATCGTTGCGTATCAAAATGTATTATATCGTGATACGATACGATGATACGCAACAAATGGATACTCACCTTTAGGAAGGATACTTCTTGACATCAAAATATCAAGAACTATAATTTAATATATAATTAACATAATGTAATTATATAATAGAAATAATTACAAATAATTATAAATTCAATAAATAATATTCCAAAAATACATATGCTCTAAAATAATCATTATATATCTCATTAAATTATTATTCAATTATAATTAGAATTATTATTTGTCTATTCTTTTAGAGTAAAACCTGTTACAATTTTTTGCACTCCCCTACTAAATGAAACAATTTCCCCTAGATGTCTAAGGAAGCTGGTGGTAGTGAAGGAGGTGCGTCAAGCAACGCACCAGAGGGCGAAGAATCGTGGCGTTGAGGTGGTTAGGTTCGAGGACGTCGAGCGTCTCGGCGCCCAGAAGAGTCATCCAGAAGTGGCGCCCAAGGTGACCGATCTGTGCACGGTGTGCTACACATCCGGGACCACCGGCAACCCAAAAGGTGTGATGTTGACCCACCAAAACGTAATGGCGGGCGTGTGCGCGGTTCTGCTGCAGCTGGGCGAGCATAAACCCTCGTACAAGGACACGATGATCAGTTTCTTGCCTCTGGCACACATGTTGGAACGGTGCTGCGAGAACGCTATGTACATGGTGGGCGGGTCCGTGGGCTTTTACAGCGGTGACATCAAAACGTTAGCCGAGGATATGAGAGCCTTGAGGCCTACCGTGATGCCAGCGGTCCCGAGGCTCTTGAATCGAATGTACGACAAGGTGAGTTGCGAGTATTACGAAATGTCGACAGTTTCCCAATCGCTTCTCTACACACCCTCCCTCCCTCCCCCGACCGTGATCCAATCTTTTCGACCACCTGGTGTGCGAATATTCTGCGTTTGTTCGCAGGCTTGTGTCCAATCGTTCTGACGAATTGGTGTTTCTTACTTTTGAGTATCTCGCGATTTTTGTTTTCTGTTTTGGGCTGGTACATTGAGGTTAGAATGGTTTCTTTAAGTATGGTACGTTGAAAGAGAAAGTGATTAGAGGGAACAGGGTGCTGGAGGAGATTTTAATAGCAAATAGGTGAAGAATTTTTTTAATTTAAGTGCACAAAGTTAAGTCCACAGATATGTTTTCTTTTACAATCTTTTTTTAATTTTATTTTATTAGGGACTATGTATCGACAGTTATAGCTTTATTGATATTTGAACGACCGACAATGAATGTATACTTATTTCTGGACCCCAGAGCCGGAGTGTATTAAATCAGATTTTTCAAACTTTCGAGCAAAACAAATCGAAGCCGCAAGAACCTTGTCATTTTGGAACCGTTTTGTAAGAATTTAACGACAAACAGAAATAGAAATGGTAACCATTTCATTACGTCCTTATGTGATAGATTTTACACTGCTTCTCTGGATATAATTCTTACACTATATTAGAAAACTAAACACGACTTAGAACGAAATATAAAGAGTGAAAATTTTGATACGGGAAACATATAAAATGTCTTTTTTTTTTTATAGTGGAGTTAACACCCTCTGCCTCTGGCGTCCAGATTTCTATCAGATCGGTAAAATATACAGTTTTATGAAACTGGACGGATTTGAATTAATTCAAATTATTTTAACTAAAATAGTTCAGTGTTTTATTTTTTTTGTAGACGTGCAATGTTATAACATTGTAATCTTTTCTCCAAGAGTTTACGAACTCTTCATTTTGATCGCTTTAGTGGATTTAGTGTTAAGATTTATGATTATGATCAATCGAAACTTCAGTACGAAAGTGAAGAAGCTTATTAGGAAAATAAATGTTTTCTTCACTTTTGTGTATGCACTTCAACTCCATGGAAATGCGATAGAAATTGTGCAGTATTCGAATCCAATTCCTTAGGAAAATCCAATAAGTGTCAAATACAATTTGAAGGAATATTTAAAAATGAGCCTGTTTTATAGTTGACTTCATAATCTCTACTCGAAATAATGTTCCCTTCACGAATATTTAATTTCTTTTTGTCAATAGTTCCAAATGTATCGATAGTAGAAAGTATAATAATAAGTAGTTGGAATGCTTTTTAAATTTTTCAAACAGACTTTCATAAATGGAATTTGAAGAAACATGCCTGTAGTTGAAGTCCATAATTATGTATTAACCCTACTGTACTGTACACCAAATAATTACTTTCACTATTATCATGTCTTATATTAAATTGTTGCTAAAGTTTCATATACGTTATCTACCGATATGAAATTCATACAAAATTTCTCTAAGAAAAAATATAATTAAAAATTATTCCTTTTGTTTTTGGATCAAATTGATCCAAACGGTGCATGAGGATTAAGGAAGGGAAATGATGTTAATAGAAGACAAAATAAGTCTCAATAAATAGACAAATAGAGCAAGAAGAAATATGGGATAAATACCAATTGTTTAAATTATGTAATTATAATAATTTTTTAATTTTATTACAATTGAGAACTTCTAATTTCTTCAAAGATAAACATTGAAAATCAGACAGGATTCTTTTAATAATACATCATTTTTAATCAGTTATTTTTTATACATAGAAAGTGTATCTATTAAAGAATCTTAATTATTGCTACAAACATCATGATAAAATTTATATAAAATGATAAAAATTTTATATAAAATACTCTTTTCAAATCATGTTAGAGAAAGCAGAATACCAGAAGTTGTGAATAATTAGCTAATTTCTTAATTCGCAGACTTACATAAAAAAGCTATAAATGGATTAAAATTCCTTTACAGCTTTAATACAAATATATCAAGTTTTCTAATTGACAAGCACATTCTCGCGATACTAATATGTAGTAATATATCCATGTTTCAACATTTCTTCTCTTGCTTTAGAGTGAAACATAAGATATTCTTATATAATACATATCTATCATAAAATCATTCCCAATCAAAAAACTTCCAGATAATATTTAGGAAAGTATTTTATATTCTATTTCGGATGCATTAAATAGAGTATTATATTATCTGTATTCTCAGCAGTTAAATTACCACAGAGTCGTTAGGCGTAAAGCTATTTTCGATTGCTCGTCGGTGTACAAAAATGATCGCGCTAAATAACCTATGGAAAGTTATGTATCACGGAAATCTTAGAGTTCGACATTGTGTATCGCGAATTTTGCGACGAAGAAATGGCCGAGCGGAAAAGATATTTTTAAGCTCGACGACGATGCCGCAAAGTGCAAGGACGCGAACGTTAAATAATTTAACATCAGCCAGTCTATTAAGAACTGAATTCTCTTGGAAATCATGCACGGCCTAACCAGTCTTATTTCTCTTCGTTTATCAAAACTAATTTGACGAATTGTGTCAGATGCGCGCGTTTGATGGACAGCTGCATTAGCAGAGTGAACCGGACGTGTAAACATAGGAGCTCGTTCGGTAACGTTTCCGTGTCTGCGAAATTATTTTCCGCATTTTCCATCGCGCCCACGATTCTGGTGCTGCATATTCTTTGCAATTTTTATTTTGCAATTACTTAGTACATTGTTTGAATTTTAATAAAAAGAAAGAAATGTTTGTTGAATAATATAACTTTCTTTTTAATAAGGGATTAACACCACATCGATTACAGTTAACTATTGATTGGGCACGTGGATTTTAATTGACCCCAGCCAACTTTAAACGTTCATAACACTGTCATTTCAATCATGCAAATTGTGTGCTTTCGTATAGCTGTGATAATGTTATTGAATTATAAGAATAGAGATGATTCTAATTTGTTGTTAACTAGAGAGTATTCTTTTATGTTCTGTTATGTTTTACAGAATTTAAGAATAAATATAATACATTATGTTTCATTTTTAATTTAGAAAACGTAACTTCGTATATACCAATCATACGGATGTCCGCAATAAAAATAATAATGCAGATTATAGACGTTTTTCATAAAAGATCTGACGAACCCCACGTGGTCGACCATGTGATTTTAAAAGCACGTAACCAGTCAAAGGTTCATACCTTTAATAAAGGCCCAGACAAATTGTTGTATTATATAGATTTGGGCAAAGTTTAAAGAAAAAATATTTCAAATACTATTTTGAATAATGAATGCTATACGGTTCAAATAAAATAATATTTTAAAAGTGAAGTTTCGACAAGTAAAATATTTTTATTTTATATTCTCTAAAAGCCAAAGATGTTTAATTTAAATTCATAATAATTTTATAACATCCTACACCAAATTTTCTCAGTGAAGGATCCGAGGATATATGTATAAGTATAATTTAAAATATATCGCTTCATATTTAAAAGAACAGGTGAATTATTTATTGGTACACTTAATAAAATATACTATTTATAATGTATATTTTATCCAGATCTTGTATTATAATAGTTTCTCTTTCCATACTATGTATACATATACCTATTATGTTAACTTTTCAAGTAAATTTGTTTTTTGTTAAATTAAAACGTTGTTAACCCTCATCTGTCTATTGTGTCACTTTGACACATTTTCCTTCTAGGAGATGATGTTATCCTGTCATATGTAGGTATTTTTAGCTGAGACTCCATGACTTTTATTTCAAAGAATTCGCAAATTTAACTATCTATCTCTTTATGATGTTAATTTTTTATCACTGTGTTAATTCGACACCAAGGTACAAATTAAACCTACAAATTAACCCTCCGTAAACAATGTCGGTCGTTAACGACATAAGGGAATTCCCATTTTTCCCGGACTTTGCTTCGAATTTTTATTTTTATCGAAAAAAGTTTGGAACATTTGACTTGACGACCGATTGTATAATATAGTAGAGACTTTGATAAGTAGCTCAGAATTTTGTCAGATTTTTTGAAAGCCTGAACAGTAAAAAATATGTTTGCTCACGGAGGGTTATGTTAAGAAAATGAGGGACGGATGAGAGTTAAATATCTTCCACCATGAATTGCGTCTTGAAATCACATTTCTACAACATTGTATGGATATTAAGAATGTGTCCGAAACGTTAAGGTCAGCAGTACGCAATCTGTTGCTCTGGCAAATGCAAAACGGGGTTGCAGAACGAACACGGCGAAACAGGTGGAGACGAACCCGTCGCTGTCGTAACCCTGAAATTCCGAATGAATGAAAACTGTGCATTGTGTGTGTACAGAATTCATCTAAACATCAAATTTGTCGCAATAACATACGTATTTCTGTATTTCCCTTGTTTCCCTTTCTACACGTAATTAATCAAAAGATTTTAGATTGTCCGTATGAAAGAAACTAAATAATACGTATTTTAAGCCATATTTTCGTGAAGTATTTATTAGACTCATTTAAGGAAAACATTAAATTAAATTCATGGGTAACTTCGATTATTCTTATACAATTATGTCGAAAACGAAGCGAGTCACGGCACAAATTTATACAATACTTTCGAACTATTTTTTTTGCGTAGAATTAGTTACGAAACACCTTTTATATTCTCTATTATTGTTGTCAACCAGATACGTGTAACGAAACTGTAACTATAAAATTATTCAACGGGAAGATTCATATTTTTATTTTGTATGAAACTGTATTCCCCAGTAAAAATTAACTTTAAAGTGAAACAGCAGGTTAACTTGCAGAATGAGATTCTTATATTTATTTTAGGAATACAGAAGAATTAAATATCTAAAAAGATGCATTTCATATGATATTAATCAACTCCAAACGTGCAACAAAAATGTACATCACTTTGAAAATTCGGGATTCGAATCTGAAACAGTAAAGGATGGATTAACTTTGTTAATGGAATGTCTGACATGCAATTCCTGTCAAAACACGTAGCTAAAATCGCTTCCTATAACAAGATTTTATGTAGTCATAAACAAATGCATGATTGTTGGGATGTGTAATAGCCAACGATGATTCAGTGTATCTTACTGTAGTTTGATTCAGCTATATATTTCAGTTACTATTTTCCGATAATAAATTTCGATCATTTTCTTTCGGTGAATTTACTGTTTGAGTAGGAAGCTATTTATATAATTTCATTTGAACTAGCTATGAATTCCAATTCATTTTAAAAGAAAATATGTCAAACGAATTGGACGTGCTACAAATTAGGAGAACACGCAACAATTTCTTGCTATGTTACCTTTTGATAAAGACATAAAGACAGTATATAAAATTTTGTAAGGTAATTAAAATGTGAATGAATAATGTTACATCAAATAATACAGTGTTATTGAACTTACTGCTTATACAGATACAGAATTAAAATTATCATATCATACTACTTTAAACTTTTATCTTCGAAATATGTATCTTCAATATTTTCACTTTTTTTCACAAAACTGATATTAATCACCTTTTCAAAAATTAAACGAAATTTAGAAAGAAACACACGGGATCCGTTGTAGTGAACAAGAAAAGGCTATTTTCGAAATGTGTGAAGATTCTTTCAAAGTTCAAAACTGTAATACACATGATCCTGTTTGAATTTTATTTTCATAAGAAATACTTATTAAGTTTGCATTTAAAAAATTAATTTACATAAAAAATTAAATGATAAGAGCACAGAAAAAGAAAAATCCAATTACGGACGAAGAAACTTTTTCAACAGCGTTCAAATAACGTCATTTATGTCCATGGTTTCCGTCATCTTTGTTAATCCCGTTACAAATAAATTCGACAATTACTCGTATCTCACTAAAGCACACGATGTATAATTAACCTTCTTCGAGGAAGTCGTTCCACAAAGTCCATGAAGCCTAACGCAAGCCTAGAACAATGCAGGAATGAATCGAACAGAATTAGACTCCGTCCAAACATCGAACGGTCACGCGACGCCGATTTTCCTCGTGACCGAGGGACAGACCAAAAGGAATAAGGCATTGTCCCAAGGAAATTTCTCTCGTTTCAAACCTGTCAGAGCTGATCCCAACTGAAGACCGCTTTGGTAACCATTAGCTCCAGATGTGCGCGGGATCAAGTGCTCTTTCTGTGACCGCAAATCGTTCAACCAACAAATTGATCGTTCAAATAGACGGACGTTCATACGCCTGTTTGCCAACATTCTCTGGGAAAGCATAGCTTTCAATCTGGCCCATTAAATATAGAATCCATAATCATGAGTATTGTCGACGGTGATAAACTCCGCGGGACCATAAATGGAAGCACCTTTTGCTAACTCACATAACCTAACTTTGCTTACTCCGTACTTCAACTAACTTAACCTCAGTACAGTTTTTTGAACAGAAACTTCAATCATGAATATCTCGAAAAATATTGAGTATCTGGCCCCAGAATGGTGTATTTTCGTAGACAAAATCTACCAATGTTCAGAGCCATAATTGAATCGATGTCCAGAAGGTCTTGCACTCTCTTATTAGCCTAGGTAGAGTCCTAGGATTACTTTCATGACTGCTTAAACTGTTAGAATTGAGATAATAAAATTATTAGGTGTATAGAAATCTGATGGCGGTCGCATTTAAGCTGATATTGCGATTTTATTTTATCTTACCTGCAGGGTATTCAAGTTTTACCAGAATATTGGGAAGAAGTTATGAAAAATGGGGGAGTTATTTCCAGTAATGGATGCTGTAGCAATTGTTCAAAATTAATGACACCTTTCTGCATACCTACATCTAATAGGGGGTGTGCGTGTAGAAAATTCATGTAGAAAAATATTGTATCTATGGATAATTAGAAGATTGATTCCAGACCTGAAAAATCAGCAAAAATAATACAATAAATCATATGAAAATGTTAGAATCTTATCATTTTTACCTGTTTGCACTTTTTATTTTATAAACATTGCACATCTATATAAAAAATATTATATAAAGTAAATTATTACTCCTTTGGTGAAATTCTTTCTATGATCTCTTGAACAAAATTAGCACCAAATACTCTCTTGTGATGTCAACATTTCACTCGTTCTAGGAATGAATTCAGTTATCAATCGTTGTGTTCGTGCTTTGGTTAGGCTCGTTAGGCGATTACATAATTCTCTGTAAGAATCTTCAGACCCCGTAAAAACTTTCATATTTGACAAAAGTATTACCCAATTTACTGGCCAGTTCAAGACCTGCAGTCAAGATCTTTAATCAAAAATTGTTTTTTAGAATTTGGATCAATCGTGTTAACCCTCATCTGTCTCTCATTTTCTCAACGTAATTTGTTGCTCGGTGTCAAATAGACCCAGTGGTAAAAATGAATGCAATGGAGTGATAAATAGTTAAATTTTCAAATTCTTTAAGGCAAAAGTCACAAAGCCTCAGCTAAATATAACTAAACATGACAAAATAACGTCATTTCTTAGAAGCAAACTGTGTCAAATTGACACAAGGGACGGAAGAGGGTTAAAACAAAACAGATCCTGTAAAAAGAGAATTAAATGTTTTTTCTAATTCGTGTTAAATCAGAATTGTGTACAAGAAGTTCGCGTAAAAACAGAATTGGGTGTTATTTGCCTACATACCGTAAATCACGGTACCCATTGTTAACCACAGGACCAAAACCAATATTGGTAGCGTTAGCTACCAATCCCAGCGCGTAGCCCACGCTATCGTGGAAGCTCGGCCAGCAGACGCGCTCTGATTGGTCAGGGTTTTTCGTTAATATCTCGTTAACAAAGTCTGGGATAACATTTTTGCTAAGGAAAAAGTTGTTTCAAATCATCCCAGGAACCCCTCATTCCCGGTAGTCGAAGTTATTTTGGGACACCCTGTATTTACCGTCACCTTCCAATATGAATAAAAGTCAACGTTTGCAGGTCCAAGCGGAACTTCAAAGCTCGTGTTTCAAAAAGTTGGTGTTCAGTATGGGCATGCGGGCGAAGGAGGGGGAGATCAAGAAAGGCATCATACGGAACAACAGTGTTTGGGACAAGCTCGCCTTTGGCAAGATCAAAGAGTCGACAGGTGGACGGTTAAGACTGATGGTCGTGGGTTCTGCGCCCCTTGCCGGAAATGTGCTCACATTCGCGAGGTGTGCCCTTGGCTGCTTGATCGTCGAGGGGTACGGTCAGACGGAGTGTTGTGCGCCGATTACTCTTACGATTCAGGTGAGTGTGTTCGCTGAATTCCATAAATAAATTCAGGATTTCATATATTTATACGAAACACGACTATATGAAAGTCAATGTAGTAATAAGTATAATAAAGTTTAATGAAATATAGGTTTCAATTTGGAATTTCAGAAAATCCATTAATAAGGGAAATAAATTTCTGGTGGATTCCAGTTTCTGTCAAATTAGCTCATAAAAATCTATATTTGCATAAACATCCGCAGTCTATTATTAAGGTACTTATACAGGGTGGACCACGAAACGTGATGAAGTTTAGTGTGTTCTAATAATGTATTATTGAGATTCTCCGTCGTATGTATTAACAAAAATTTCAAAAATTTTCCATTCAACCTAATAGTAAGTTGTAACTTATATGTATACAAGTCAACAGGAAAATATTCTATATTCTTGATAACAAAAATTTAAACAGATCCATTTCATCACGATATATCGCTGCTTTGCTTTGATAGTGACATAACTTGAAAAAATTTCAATTTTATAAGGAAAGCATTCAAAAACTTCTAATCGACTAATATTTTACTACTGGTATGATTTATTTAAATTCATGTTGCTTTTGCAAATATTTAGATTACGTAGAAAAGTACTACACCTAAGGAGTTTATGCAAAAGAAGCAAAAAAAAAACATTTTCTTGTTGTGCCACTATCATAGCAAAGATGTGATATACAGTGGTTAAAAAATGTGTTCGCACACCCTTTAAAACAGAACAACTTTTTTAATATCGGACCAAGTGACTTGAGTTTTTTTGTGAAGTTGGAAAAATTAGTTTACTAAATGATATGTAAACAAAATTTTGAACAAGTTTCAATTGGTCGGAATTGCGAAGAAAATAGTAAAGGTAGTTTTTTACGACTTTTTAATCTGAGACTATAATGAAAATTTAATAAATACATATTGAAGAATCATGTTACTTACATACATACTTAACTTTTATGGAAATCGGTTGATACAGAAACGAGAGACACGCATGGAAAGATGTAAGAATTGGTAGATTTACTACAGTTGTAGGTCGAAAATTGCGAAAAACTGTGATTTTTAACATTTTTAATCGTTTATCTTTCATAGCAACGTTAACCGATTTTGATAAAATTTTCAGCATTTATTATAACTAACACAACTCATTGAAATGTATTTATTAAATTTTCATTACAGTCTCAAACGAAAAATTGTAAAAAGCAACCTTTACTTAATTATCTTCGCGATTCCAACAATTTGCAACCTTCTCAAAATGTGTTTACACATCATTTAGTAAACAGATTTTCCTAACTTCACAAAAGAACTGAAGTCACTTGGACTAATTTAAAAAAAATTGTTCTGTTTTAAAGGATATGCAAATATGTTTTTTTACCCAATGTATGTATGTACTTTCAACAGTATTGATTCAGAGAGTCAAAATGCTGTGTCTTGCGCGAATAATGTTATATCGGACTTCGAAAGAGGGAAATAAGCTTAAAACATTATGAATATACGTTTCAGCTCGTGGCAAATACCTTAGATATACATACTTGCGTCTCGACAGAGAAGGTGGTCAATAAACGCTCCACAAATAAATCGCTTTCGCAGCCACTGAGCCTAAGTCGTGGTATGTAGCCATCGGCGAGCTAGAAAAATAGCTGCGACGGATTGAAAAATAAATCGACTCAAGGTTATTAACGAGTTTAAGAATCCGCCTGTTGCTACTCGGTTCCACATTAACGTCGACTTTCAGGAAGATCGCGGAAGATCGAATTTCAAAACCGTCGACTATAGACGCCACTTACAAGAGAACTTCGGTGTACCTGAATAATTTCAATTTTTTTTTAAACTTACAAGGTCTGTGAGGGACCTCAATAATTTCGATTTTTTATAAACATCGCAGTCTGTGAGGATTTGAATAGAAGCATCGGGCATTTTGTCGTTTTTGCTGATATTCAATTCTTCAGGGTGCAACCACCCCTTAAATGTTATTATGTGTTTTTCTATTTTGCTGTATATTCTGGAAACTATAGTAGATTTAAAAAACTGTGACAATGAAAATTTAATAACGTTTTATGATCTATAAAAGTTTGCAACATAACTGTTAAAAATTTGTTTTTAAATAAATAAATACAAATTAGACACTTTTATAGAGCATAAGAAGCCATTAAATTTTCATTTAACCGTTTTTTTATATCTACTATAGTTTTGAAGATATACAGGAAAATAGGAAAACATACATTAACATTTAACGGGTGGTTTCACCCTGAAGAACGAAATATCAGCAAAAATGAAAAATTATCCGATGCTGCTATTGAAATCCTCTACAAACCTGAGGAGTTTAAAAATAATCGGAATTTTCGGAGTACCGAAGTTTCGTTGTTAGACTTCAAAGAGTTTACTTCATTCGCACTATAGATCTTTTATTTTTACCTTTACTGATAATTACTGGTTGCAAAATAATTGGTGTTAAAGAACTAATTCAGATTCTATAGGTTGTACTGAAATGCGTTCTATAAAATCTCTTAACATAATTAAAATTTTTTATATTTTACACCGCTTGTTATGTTTTAGTTCTGAATATTTTTTCTTTGCTCTTGTTTTGCACATATTACTATACACAATGAATCATACATTTGTTCACATATAGTGGCTTACAAGTTTGTATACAGAAGGCTGTCATTTCTATGTAAGCAAATTATGTACAAAAATGCGAATTGTATTTCAAACTTAGAAAAAAGTTTTCATAAAGGATGATGAAAATATAAACAATGAGAATATATAAGTATAGAAATTGCATATACATTTTTACACTTAATTGTTATATCAGAAGTATATGAACGTTTGTGTGAATCACTAGACTTCCAAAATAACAACTAAGTGTAAAAATATTTATGCAATTTCTATTTAAATATTCTCATCATCTTCATTCTTATCATCTTTCTATGATATATTTTTCTTAATTTTTAAACAAAATTCCCGTTTTGGCAATTTAATTTGGTCAAATAATTTGGTCAAATAATTTGGTCATGTAATAAACTTATGAGTCACTGTATCTTTTTCTGTGGTACACTAAAGACATTATTATTTAGAATCGTATTATAAAATAGTGAATACAATCTTATCATTTTATTAGTTCACATTCCAATAACAAGTAAATAAAGTCGATTTAAGGCCATAAAAATAAGGTATTATTATTGTTTCCGGTAACGGACAATAAAGGAAACGTATGCAATAAGAATGGCCGACGCTCGAACGGTGAGATCATGCCGTGGAGATTTCAATCGAGAACTGACTAACGATCAAGTGACACGCATAGTCACTATTTTTGTCATATTTGCTGGTATCGATGCACCTAGGCGAACACGAGCTAATATTTATAGGCAGACGTAGGTATTTATGTCGGCTGGTACGGAATAAAAAAGGAATCCGCGACAACGCGCCAAAAAGCACGTGGCGAGCACGTCAAACGTGTACAATATCAGCTGCGTGACTATACTATGACTAAACGTGTGTGCAATTTCTGAAAACGTTGCACCGTCTGTGCACACCGGTCGCCAATGGTTGAATTGATTTATTTAACTTTGACGTTACGCGTCTGCCGATATTTCGAGAAACAATACACAGGGTGTTCCCGAAATCGTCATAAAACCGGTTGGGTGATTATTCTGAAAGAAAAAATAAGTCGAAAGAAAAGAATAAATTCTTTTTGTTTGAGGCTTTATTTTCGAAAAAATCGAATTCGAAAATTAATTTGAAACGCGTGTCTTCGTCGTGGTAGTAAGTAGAAACGGACTGCAATGAACAGACGCGTTAATCAAGTCCTATTCGACTGCACGCGTATTCAGAAGATTTTCAAATTCGATTATCTCGAAAACGAAGCCTTAAGTGTAATAATGTTATTCTTCTTTTTCGACTTATTTTTGCATGTAGAATTACCACTCGGTCCGTTGTACCTCGATTTTGGGGACACCCTGTATATTCGTGCTGGGTGATTCAGTCGGGAATGTTTAAAAATGTTCGACGTTTTGCAATACACCGAAATCTCGTTTAACTGGCTGGTTAATAAACAATCTGAGAACTTGGAACGATAGGTAACTGTGCTATACGAAACGTGTTTTCAAGATGAAGCAGTTTTAGTGAGGCACGAGACAAAGACGACTGACGTAGGCTTGAAATTTTCAATTTCTCGACTCGACTTGAATTATAAGTTGAAAGAGTGGATCATATTTCATAAGTTATTTTACATAAATATTTATTACCTTAGTCTTTCTTGAACAGTATATTAGATTTTAGTACAATACTTTTCATAGGCAGAATGATCATTTTCATATATTTTAATACTGTTAAAAAATGAGTATGATACTTTCATAGGAAAATGTTTAATTGAAATAATTTTTGTTTTAATTAAACCGACGAATATTTATACACAAAATAATATATTTTTAGAGACATATTTTTAGAAACTAGAATCAAATAGAAATTTATGCACCACGTTAAGAGTTCTATTAGATTTCGCATAAAATTGAAATTAATTAAGTTGTATTAAATGTTTTTTCATACCGAATTTTAGACAATTGCAACATCCGTATCGATATTTGCATTATTTCTAATATTTATAATACATTTGCAATATGGTTCCAAATATTAAATTATTCAAACTTGTATTATACTGATCTTTAGACAGTAATGCATCCTATAAGTGTAAAAAAAACGCAGCATTATCTTTAGATCTTCTCGTTTGTTTGTGTTGTCATTTTTACACCATTGTTATGTGGGGATTCAAAGACGTTTAAACAAAACTGCATATACGTTATTTTGAATGCTGAATTTTATTCTTCTTTATTTTGAACAATTAATCGTATTATAAAATACCAATTTAAAATATTTAATACGATAGACATTAAAATACACGAAGAAACCTACTTCTAACGAGTAGCAAATTTTTCGACAATATTACACTGTAAAATTCACAATTACACAAATGAAAACATTCGAATGTTTAAAAATACATAAGTGTTCCGTGAACCCCTAATATTGAGACGAATATAATAGAACAGATGTTTCAAAATTGAACTTGAAATATATTAAAGAATTACTTAATTCCCACGATTTAATTTATTTCTCCTGAATTTACCCCAGATAGCACACAGACGACTTAAGACGGTTTAATGAGGACTTAAAGGCGCCACAGACATAAAATAACCATAAAATGAGCGTCTTCAAGGCGTTATGTCTTATCTGGGACCATAAACCGCATAAATTTATTTTTCTGGTCGCTATATTTTCAGAATTCATTTTCCAGTAGTATTGGAACAAATATGACAATACCATTCACTTCATTGTTATACAACAGCTAATGAATAGTCTGTTCCCAAAAGGGGTTTCAGTTTCCTCTATAACATTTCAACAATATTTTCCATAAATGCTCAACTCTTAATGCCCATAGCTATTTCCAAAAACAATTAACCACATAAAGCCATTGATCTTTAATCCAACACCTCTGCAGACTGACACACATTTTATCTCTTGAAAGAAACAAAATTTGGTGAAGATGACTTTAAATGGCCAATTGATCTTACTCACGCTTTCGCATCCATTGCAGGGCGATCATGTACCGGAACACGTGGGACCACCGGTTGCTTGTTGTTGCGTCAAATTAGTGGATGTCCCGGAAATGGAATACTACGCCAGGAAGAGCCAAGGTGAAGTATGCGTGAAGGGTACTAACGTGTTCGTCGGGTACTTCAAGGATCCCGAAAAAACTGCTGAGGTTATCGACGAGTTCGGATGGCATCATACGGGGGACATCGGCATGTGGTTGCCTGTAAGACAAAAAACACTGTACAAATTTTTCTATCACGGTAAAATTCAAAGATTTAAGGTTCTCACGGCTTGACGTCGTATAGTTTTATATTTTTTTTTGTAAGCCATATTCTTTTGAATAAATTATCCCAACGTTTTGCCAATATTCCAATTAACTTCATCTGGGGTTGAAAGACATGCTGATATTGTTATGAGTCATGTGAAGGTTCACTATTAGAGTTGTACTCTTTTATATATGTATTACGATGGGCGTCAATTACAATAGTTATCAATGACAGTACTTTAATTGTTCAGTTGACCAGTGTCAATTATCTTTCGACTTCTGAAGAAGCTAACTGCAATGTTGGAGAAACGTTAGGATAATTTTATTCGTCCAACTGGTCACTGCTTGCAGACGGAAGCCTCGAAAATTACAAATGCATCGATAAAATTCTTCAGAACGTCGTACCATTCTCATATCCGCTTTTTTTCTACCCAATTATTTGAACCCCCATTACGAAGATGGGGTCTTAGAGAATTCCCAATTCTACTTTCCATGTGGTCCTTTCTGCTATACACGATATTCTACGTTTCAACAGTAAGACTGTATTTATTTATTCCGAAAACATATAACTGAAACGTAACAGTAAAAAGATTGTTTGCAGCTTTGTACATTTATGTATAAAGAAATAGAAAAATTGTACCCTCTTCGATACATAAATTTACCGTAACGTTAATTACTGATGTTAATGTTATATTTGTTGTATGTATTACAATAGTAATACAATATTATTTTTATATTACCCAGATAGCACAGGACGCTTTGAAGGCGGCTCAAAGACACCTTAGACCTAAAAACAGCCGTAAAATGGGCGTCTTCAAGGCGTCATGTACTATCTGGGTAGCGTTGTAATATTATTATATTATTATATTATGGTAATTCTTCTTGCAGAACGGAACGCTCAAAATAATCGACAGAAAGAAGCATATCTTTAAGTTATCGCAAGGAGAATACATAGTTCCAGAAAAAATTGAGAATATTTATTTACGCAGTCAATATGTACACCAAGTATTCGTCCACGGGGAATCCCTAAAGTCTTGCGTCGTAGGAATCGTGATACCGGATGTAGACGTTGTAAAGTGTTGGGCGGTGGAAAACGGTATACCGGGAACACTAAGCGTGTTGTGCAATAATCCGCAGGTGAAACAATTAATTTTGGATGACATGCTTGCGTGGGGAAAGGAAGCTGGCCTTAAATCCTTCGAACAGGTAAACAAAGTTGCACCTGGTGAATTTGACCATGTATAGAGCAGGGATGAATTTGTGGTACGACAAAGTGGAGGTGATTTCTTATGAAACAATAAGTCGAGAACACAGAATAAACTTTTATGGTTTAAGACTTTCTTTAAAAAATAATCGAATATGAAAATTTACCCAATTGTAGACATTCGACTTATTTCTTCGTGAAAGATAATCCCTCATCCGATTGTGCCACAAATTACTCCCCACAATACATAGACATATATTCAAAAATCAGTGGAAAATAAGTGGGAAATTAAAATTGCGATATTTATAAGTACATTTTTTTATTTTATTAATTAACACAAATATTTGAAAATAGGCGCACAGTAGGAATGACATGAATTATTTTAATTCTAACTTGAAAGAAGTTACAGGTTCTAATTTCGTCTTTTGTTAACATTAGGTCAAAGATATATATTTACATCCGGACCCGTTCTCCGTTCAAAATGGCCTCCTGACGCCGACATTGAAAACAAAACGGCCCCAGTTGAAAGACTATTTCAAACCACAAATCGAGGATCTCTACCGACATTTGGACTGACCAGACTGAACATTCATTTCGATTTGTTTTCATTAGCATTGGGAGCAGCAAAGACAGGAAGGATCGAAATATGCCTTTGTGTCTCGTCCGCACAGACGTCACTTCCGTCATCGAATACGTTCGTTATTCCGCGTAACTTTTATTATGTCATTTTCACGATTACATAGCGACGCAAGAGAAAAGGGAAAGCACCGTTTTAGGCTATTAAGGTAATTGACAATATTATAAGTAATAAAATGAGTTATTATTAGGCGCGTCTGATTTTCTCTTAACTACAATCATCCTTCGATACTTTTCACAGCTAGCTACAATCTTCTCTGACCCTTATCCTCATATTTTGATACAAATTATTGCCTAACTAGAGATTTGTATTTTTATTAATAGCAATAATTTAGCCAGACTCTGGACTTAGTACAAACTAGGATACTCGAACGTTGATCGCCGAAGCAAACCCGCACTTTGTCAATTTGCAAAGTTTACGTAATAAATAAAACCATGTGAAGATGATTCCAAATGTTTACAAACCCCCGAAACGTTTGCTGATATCATTAGAACTGGACAAGAAACATTTTTTATTACTAACAACAATACATTACAACTATTTCCTCCTTTTTAGCGATTGTACAATTGTGAATCAATTTGAAGCGTGGGTTGGTACGAAACTGGTATAAAACTCATATGAAAATAACAGTAAAAAGTCAAATGCACACACCGTTTCAAATACGAAGTTAAGCAAGCAAAAAGATAAATAAAAGAAAATGGTACGACATCTCTCTAATTTATAATTTAATAATAACCATCACATACTGCATTCAATATAGTAATAATAGTGAAAACTCACTGATAATAAATACGGCCTCTCGAACCTCATTCTGACCTCTTGGTCTCTGATTACCACTGTACTTCCAACTTTAGCTTTTAGATTTAAAGCTGTAATATACGACTACGCAACCGACAATTATAAGCGTTAACGCAACCGCCGCTAAGATAATTCTTTGCTGAAGGTTCCTAAATATCATTCCTGATAGTAATCGAGAACCACGTCCCAGCTCTGCATCTGTCTCACGTAACTGAAATGGTGATATACGCAATAATAATTAATATGTAAGAATAGGTAATAATAATTTTACTTCCACTAAAAAGAACACCTAATTCATAAAGTTAAATGAATTACTAAGTATGAGATAAAATCAATATCTTACCCTTCCTCTTCCTCTTTGAATCGTCTCCCTTTGGCTGTGCAATTCTTTCAATACTTGGGAACCAATTTCTTCTGTTTCTAACACCATTCGATAACCATTTTGTAAGGTTCTTCCACTACGCTCTATTTGCTCTGAACTATCCAACAGCCTTTTCTTCTGATCCTCTGTAATACTACTTTCCCAAGAATCTTCTTTGTTTATTTCAATGCTCTCCTCCCTTGGCTTCTTAGCCGACTGAAATTCCTGAGTCAGTCGTTTCAATTCTGCTCTATGACTCTCTACACGACCGCGCAAGCGGTCACGAGCCGTACGATTCACCCCACGAACCTCCAGTTCCATTTGCTCCAGCTAAAATATAAATATATAAAGAAGACATAGTAAATATTATTCGACGTAGTTGCGATATAATTGAACAGTAATTTCATTTCTGAACTACTAACGTAGTATAATAGCTTTTAAAAATACACTCGAGGTACATAATGCAGGGAGAGCGAATGAAAAGACTGTGACTATGAGGATGCATATTAATAGCAGAAATCAAATGTTTACAGAAGATAATTCCACAAGAGTTCCTGACATTAGAACAGTTAAGTGTTTGGGTATACTATCGACAGTTATACGTACATGGGATGTCCCAAATGTACATTGAAATGTTTTTAGAGGTGGTAGGAGAATTTATATTGAACCAAAAATGACTTCAACATAATATTCTGCATATGACGCTAGCATAATGCTTACTAATAGTTAGAGGATTTTATCATTTCATAGATTTTTTGGAGAGCAAAAATGGAATATAGAAAATCTTAATATATTTTATCATGCTTTCTATCTACAGTGTAGTTGTTATAAAAGTGGTAAAATTTAATACTTTTATAAAAGAGAGCTTAATGTAACACAGATACAATAGAAGCCAAAAAAATGTCTAGTAATTAGCTGTTCGAAATGATCTAATACTTAGTTCCTGTCTAAAAAAGCAGATAGTTTACAATGAGTCTGTAATAAATTCTTCGTAAGTCATAAAGTCTCTAAAAACGAAGTAGTGTGTGTCTATTTGCCCTTACAGATGGATACTCCATATTGCCCAAGCTGCCTATCATCAAGCTGATTTTGTAATACTGCTTCATGAAAAACCCTAATCCAATTGTAATGTTATCTATTTATTACACTTGCTGATGTATTGTATGTACATGAATTTTAGGGTACTCCAAGACACAAACCACTGCCTCAAATGACTAAAACATCTAGCCAAGGATCTATTAAAATGTATTTGTCTCACTAATATGTGTACATTACTATCTTTACCAAAATTATACAACTTTAAACGATTGTAACTGCTCTTCATATTGCATGTCCCAACTGCATATTGCATTTCTGTATAGCCTTACATTGCATAACAATAAAACATATGCAGCATTCAGACTTTAGCTCAAAGATACCTCAAATGTGCAATGAATATATTCACTAAAATTTTTAGAGAAACGTTTAGTGACATCATTAAAATTACGAACTTTAAATCCATGCTTAAGAGTGATTGCATCTTATTAACAGATTAAAAAGGACACTATAGAATCTATCTTTGAAACTATGGTCAATGTATAAAATCTGATGTAAATTGTTGCATCTAAAATGCCCTATAAAACTTAACAATATACCTTTACATTATTATTGAAAATCAATGCAAAAGAAACATCAAATTGTGACTAATCCAATTTTTATAAGCATGATAATCCAGAAAATCAAAAGGGGGGGTTCTAACCCCAGTATGTAACATACAAATTGCCTGCAGTTTCTAATAATTTGAAACATTTATTTGGTAGAATGGCGTGGAAGTAAAAGAAATAAAGGATATTGTTTTTTACCAGCTCCTGAGCTTCCTCAATTTGTCTGTCCACATCTTGAATAAACGTTCTTCTCTCATCTATAAATTACGTCACGTGTATCGATTATTGTTGTTTAATAATGTCAGAAGATGCGTACGCATTAAAAATAACAAACAGTGACTCGAAATAGAATGATTTCTAGAATTCGGTTTTCTTCGTACTTACTGCCGCTCTGTGTTCTTATTCTACCAATTTTTGCGGTGATGTCAGCTGTCAAAACGGCGTATTGTTGCTCATAATTGTCAATGAGCGACGCCATCTTGAACGTATTTCCATTGAAGATGAGTAAATAGGAGTGTAAACTAAACCGTACACTGAATATACGTAGGGAGCTAGAAACAGCTACGTTCAGAAGTCAGCTGATTGTTAGTGCAATGGCGGACATCTTGGCTTTTAAATATCATTTATTTCAAGAAAGAATGGAAACATAGGATTAGTAAATAGTACATTTTAATATTTTATTTAAAAAAAAAGCTAATGAATGTATAAGAACCTTGGGACAATAGACATATTATAAATTTATTTTTAAACTCTAATTTTGTAGCTTAGTAGGATAGCGAAGAATAATTGATATGATTGGATATTATTGTTGATCCTTATTTATTTTTCTCTATACGACATTACAATAAATTCACTGACCTCATTTCAATTGTTAAATTTTAATACTGAGAAGAAATTCAAATTTGACGACTAACGTTGATAGAAATATTCACTTGTTAATTTGTAACGTTACTTACTAATTTGTAAATTTGAAAATGTATAAATAAAGAATTTTTAATTAAGGGGGGCGTTATGAAGTATTGTAGGCTGTTTCATCCTCATTGCTCATGTTATTGTATTCAAACTATAGTTACATTTAGAGAATTTAGTCAATTTCTGAAGCTGTGAGATTAATATGGACTTTATGCCTCTATTTTTTTATTTTATACATGTACATAAGAAAAATGTATTAATAAAATATAACACGGTGGTGCATATTCTATGTATTTCGCTAAAATAGAAATTGCGTGGAAAAGGGACCTTCAACCACAGACGAGATATATGAATAGACCTAACATGCAATGTAATTTTCTGTCCCATGCTTCGTGGGCGTCAGAAGCCCCCTTACCATTTTAGTGTTAATACCGACGTTACCGATAAAGTATGAATTCTGAGTATTATTAGCACAAATGAAGTGTTATATATTCCATTCATATTGCGTGTAGCTATGTATATGATTTGACGGGAATAAAAATATCCGATGCTTCAGTTTAAGGTTAAGGGATAAATGTGACAGTCATGAAACATGAAACGGAAAAGTATATATGTTTTCACTTAACTACAAGGCAATTTATTCTAAATGCATCGTTAATGGACATTTTATTAATGTTAGTTTTTACATGTTCCTGTTTTATTCGTTTTTATATCTTGCCTTACATTTGTATATTTGTAACACATAAATTCGGAATAGATGTACATAGTTTCATAAATAGTTTATCAAATCTATATGGGGGAGAATTTATAAACTGCTTTTATTAACATTTACATATTTATAATTTATATGGGAGTATGAATAGTTTTACTGCCTATTGTAAGAATCTTAATACGCACGAATAATTACTTTTTGGCAATTGGTAAATTTTTTTATATGAATTTACTTACACGTTATTTACTTACCAAAATTTTATTTATTGCGAGTAATTAAATAATGAACGTATGTTAATATTCAGCTACGTGTTTCTCAAATTAAGTGAAATATAGAAGTTTTATTTTCTTAAAAATTAGTGTTAACGAATACAGCAACTGGTCAGATTAGTTTCGTAAATAAATCGAAACCCTGTATCGGCACATTGTTTTTTATGCTATCAAATATCACACGGAATCTTTTAGGAAGTAGTAAAATCTTTTACACAAATTCAATGAAATACTTTCAGGTATCCAGTTTAGGGCTATGAAATTAGAATGTTCAAGAAGAGGTAAAAAAGTTTCATATTTGCAATTATTTTGTGAAATGAATAATAAATAAGGGTCTTAGGAATTTATACTGGAGAGCTAAATCTTTAAAAGGAATATGTCGCTTAAACAAATTAGTTAAATATGATATTTATTTGGGGAATATGAACATCATAAATAAACGGGAGCGGTAGAGCGAGTTGCGGTATCGGTGCTCTCCGTCGGTGTCGACGCGTACCGAACGAGGCCGAAGATGGTCGGAGCGGGCGAAAGGGAGAGAGCGAGAGCGATAGAGCGAACCGCAATATCGGTGCTCTCCGTCGGTGTTGACGCGTGCTGAGGAATTTCAGTGGTCTATGAGGGGAGGTGTGCGAGCGAGAGAGTACGGTAG